TCTAGTTACTCCCATGTCAAAGGAGAGCCAAGAGAAGCAAAACAGCAAAGGACAGACTGTAGGGTCAGACAGGCATGGAAAACACTACCATTTCGTAAGTTGTCGGCCCATACCCACACTCCTATCATTCTGTTGCAGCTCAGGCTCCCCACGAACCTTGAAAATGCCTAAAAGAACCTGCTATTTCCTTAAATCCAAGTTATTTCACTCCTCCCACTGGGGGAGACGGGGGGAGAAAGACAGGGAGAGAGGGAAAGTGTTATGGGTTGTGTCTAGGTGTCCCCCCCCCAAGCCTCATGTGGTCACAGTGTGGGGCTTTTTCAGAGGTGGCTGGATCTAGAGTGTGAGATAGATTCATGGTGGAATGCTAGGATTAAGGGTAACTACTACATCAGTCTGATTGGCTTGGCACTGCCCTAACCCCTGCAGTATAAGAGACAGAAAGAGCTGTGGTTGTCCCTTGCTTGCTTTGGTACCTTCTGGCCTCCATGAACTGTTTCTCCTCTATGATGTCCCCTACCATGCCACCCTGCCTTGGAGCCAGCAGACTATGAACTGAAACCTCTGCAAACTGTGAGCCAAATAAACCTTTCCTCCTTTTAACTTTGGGTGTTAGGTATTTTTTCTCAGCAACAAAAAAAGTAACGACGACAGAAAAGGAGAGGTGGGAGAGAGAAGACACCAACCAGAGACAAACTGAGAAATTTGTTTGGAGGGCAAGTTAAAGTAGAAAAGGATCAGAATTTCCTTCTAAATGTAGAACCACTGGGAAAGGAAAGCTTGGCCCAACCTACAGTTGCCCAGTGGCCATCACAAAATATGGACTTCTGTCTTTACGGAGATAGTTAAGTGAAGCTGTCACGCATACAAAGAAGTAAAAGATTCACTGGGCCCCTACTGCTTCGAGATTCTATAAATTATATAAAAAGTGTAAACTTTTATAAAAAGAATTTTTTAAAGGCCGTGTTAGTCATTCCAGTTTATGTAGATGGCAGACGATACTTTAAAAATTTTCCTACTTGACTCAGATTTGACTCATGACTTTAGATGTCTAGAAAAAAAATGTAGGTTTTCTACATAAACTGTAGTCTTATTTTCAAAATAAAACTTAGTTTTACTAAGCCAAATTAGGGTGAATTGTGAGTGCTTGAAAGAATTTGCAAAAACAATTACCTTTCAGTTGAGAAGTGTGTGTCATATTTACAAATGTTATTTGTTCTGAGGATCTCATAAACTTTAAAGATAAAAATGAGAATGTGAGCAAGCCCAATTTAAAAGATGTAGTAGCCTAATAGCACAGTAAAGCTTCTAATAGTCTTGGCACTGAGTCCAGGCACGGGCGGCTCTCTGCTGGGGGTGGCTTTCTTGGCTGTGAAGGCAGATCATGCCCTCTGTCACTCATGGGGAGCAGTTCTGCCCAACTGTCTCTTTTCAACAACTTTATCATCAATCTCTTTATTAACAGCTCCACTGCAGTCAGAAAACGCAAACAAGGACCAATTCTCATGCCAGATTTCTGGAAATCACACAGCACCAGGCACTGCACAGTGTGAAAGTTTGTGAGGAGGGTGTTGTGCCAAGAAAGAGGCAGATCCACAAGGAACAAGCACAAGTTGGGACATTTTATGTTATTAAGTTAAAATACACATACCTATTTTCTTATGGCTAAAATCTGAAAAGAACCCAAATACTCACACATAAACGGATGGGTGGAAATTGAGAAAGGGTACTGCAGTAGCACACAAATCACTTTATCCCCAGAATTAACTTCATTTTCAGAAATCTTAAAGAGCAAAATTGTATTAGACCCACCCACCCACTCCAGAAGTTTTAACTATTTTAGGACCACATGACATCATTAGACACTGCACAAGATGGAGATAAATGTTTGCAGTGAGCAAAAACCAACCCATAAAACTGTTTGAATTATTCAAAATATATTTTGAGTATACTCAGCATGAAATGTGTTAGATCAAAAATGTCTTACAAATTAAAGGAAATGCTTTAAAAGACTTGAAAATTATTTTTGAGACTTAGATAAAAGTCAGGTAACAACAACACATGTAATAGAAACAAAAAACATCTATGTTAAAACTATATGAAGTGCAGCTGTTAATTACAGGGGCACCTCAGCACACTTTGTAAACTGGGTTCTGGGAGATGTGATGTGGACCAAAACAAGAACCACTAGACAAATACATTGCTTTGGGTGGAAAGGATAGCAAGCCATGGGGCAATCTAGGCTGACAAATTCTAGCTTGCACATAAAGTACCAAACCACAAGTACCAGGACAAACTGTTCACATCCAAACACATCCAGCCAAAAATCAAATAATAAGTTTCGAAGCAATTGAGTACCAAGGTATGACTCCACTACATCAGCCAAGACTAAAAACCTACCATGAAGTCAAGATTTATGCTTCATACTTCCCTTTTGTATGTTTTCTATTTCAATCTATTTGATTTGTTTGAAGACATGAATAAAAAGGGTGTTACTCAATAACTGTAGATGAAACTTTCCAAAATGCTTTTAAGATCTGACACTTTATAACTAGATCTACATTGTTCCAGAATTACACAATGCACCGTGTGGTCTGTCTCAGGGGTGTGGCTGCCTTGCCCAGGCCGAAAAGAAACAAGGCTGAGGCCACAGTGGCGGTGGCAAGCTTAAGCCTGGAGTGAAGCAGCTCTCTGGCTTCCAAACTCATCTATTCCACTATGTAAAACAAAGCCAAGACACCTCTGGGCTTTCCCTAGTCAATGCTACTCAATGAGACCCAGTAAGGAGTGTGGCAGGTCTGGTGTAAATACCTTCTTACCACTAAAAACAAACCCACCCCATACACAAACAAAAACTAAGCTGGGCAGCAGAGCACCATTCTATACCTTCGGACATATCAAAGTAAAACATGCAATGCTTCCAGTAAAACATACAAACGCTTTTGTTCTCATCTTTATTTGAATACACTTTCTTACCCTACTGGTAGTATTTAAAGATGCCCAAGCCAGATGGGGAAGTGCAAGTTAACATTTTAAACAGTAGATGGTTAAATAATCTCCATAAACATTAACAACACTGTATGTTTTGTAGATATGATCTGTACTACATGAAAATGCAAAGCATACTGAAGGATAATCTGAGGAAAAAAAGGACAATTGTGTCCTTCCACACAATTGGGAGGTTTCTAAAATGTGAACCTGATAGCCCTAATTTTATCCTTCAAAGAAAAATGGACTTGAAATTCTACCCCTTTTAAGAAATTTCTTGGGTGGTTTGATCAGCTGCTAGTCGTCCCAGAATATTGAGACAAAAGTCTGTCTCTGAGGAAGAAAAGCACAAGCTGAGATGCTTTCTCAAGTATATGAAATCACACTAGAATGGAAGTACAATCACTTCTGAAACACATGCTTCAGAAATATGTATGGCATTTTTCTTGGTGCCAATAAAGCAATATAAAATGTAACAATAATTTCTAAATTGCTAAGACTACAGAAAGGATGAGTTGACCCTACAAATATGAGAAAGAGGTATCACACAGAACAGACCACCTGTCTCTATGGAATTGAAGGTCATGTTTATTACAGAACACACAATACTTCATTTACCAAGTTCAGAACTGAGTCAAGGCAGCATCCATTTGTGAGTTTTGCATGAAGAAAAGCTAACAGAAGAACAATAATATGGAGAACTAAAAAACAAAACATACAATTCAGGCTAAAAGGCAACTAATTTTCTCCATACTGTTCACTTTTATTAGAATTAAAATAGGCAAAGGAAGATCCACAGGATTGTTCAATGCCTTTTTAGGAAGTTTATCTTTTTATTTAACAAATTTCCCAAGGCTCAGTCTACAAGTTTGTGTAATGATTTTTTGTCCTTTCATATATCAATTACAACTTGGAGCTGTGGATCAATTGCTACATGAATGCAGCCAGAAACATTTTTCTGTATGGAGACAAAAAGCAAACAAACAAACAAACATTAGAAAATAATTTTATTACAGAATTTACTCAGTACCACGAAACATGCAACTTTCGATTATCATTTTACTAATTCAGCAAGGTACAAGAAATGTCAAAAAGCTACGACAATGATAAAACTCAGTACGTTATTCAATCGCATGTCTCACTGTCTATTGAGATGGAGTAGGTACGGAAATTTCAATTTTATACATGGTAGCAATAGAGTGAGCATTAAGTTTTACGCTTTCCTTTTGTTAGGCAAACCCAAAGTTGTAGTTTCCAAAAAAAAAAATGATCCTATATTGCACTCACACCACTAGAGAAGTTCTCAGAATTTGGAATTTTAGGAACAGAATGTGTGCGACTCTGTATCTGTTGGAATTATGGCTTTTACAAAAAGGTCCACCTCTCCACTCAGAACACTTGAGACAACGATACCCAAGAGTTGGCCTTCACAAGCACACAGAACCATTCACTCCTGATCTGTGAGCTAAGTCTGCAATGTGAAGCATTTGGAGGTTTAAGAAAGGCATTTTCTGATTTGGTTTGGTAAAATAATAAACAGGATCCTAACTGGTGCTTGTGGTTTGTGAGTCTAAATTTAATGAAAAACAACAGTGCCACCTTCTGACATTAGAGATAAAATACCAACTGCTTTGAAAACCAATAGCTTTGAAAAAGAAAACACACAGGACACTGCCTATCTGCACAGAACACATACATAATGTAAAGTATCTACAGATACAGAGTCAATAAATATCTTAGAGGACAGGTAGCTGGGAATAATTGGTAGCTATGGTCATGCTTAAAGATCAATTATGTGAAAAAACAAATACCTGTTTATTATGTGATATAAATTATTATTAGGCAGCTGCTAATGACTTAACCAGAAACATATTTTTTCCAATTTAACCAGAGTAAATTTGTTTGCAAATCTTCATCAGGAGCCATGTTACAAACTTGTACGTAGAACCAACTAAAAAAATCACTGGGGGGAGGGAGACAGTCAAAAGAAATCAGCCAACTGGAGATTGTGGTTTTTTTTTTTTTAAATTTTATTGTGTTTTCAATGGAGAAATACATCATCTGTTTACAAAATAGCTCTTGAAAAATACAAGGAGCACAGATACTATAAAACAAAGCAAACTCCAGTCATGAGACACTACATACATCATGCGAAAGCAACAGTCTGATTTCCAGATTATGAAACTAGAATTAAAAAGTCACTACACAGAGAAAGTCCAAGTTTGCAGCTTGGCAAAACTTGGATGCAGTTACATGAAACGTTTAATAAACTGAAGTTTTTCCCCAACGTGTAAACAAAATGACAAGACTAAATCTGTGCCTGGCAATTTCAATCTAACTCTGAAGCTACACAACACACACAGACACCTTGTACACTTCACCTGCTAGTTGACCATCTTTTCTTCCTAGGTGGTTGGGAGGAATGGCAAGGCGACTGTGTGGAGCAAAGATGTGGGAAGTAGAAATATTGTATACTAGACATTATAAAGTCATGGGGAAAAGAAAGCCTCAATTAATGCATAGCCTAAGGGGAAAAGACTATACTCCAACTTCAGAAAATTAATTTAGAAGGATGGGGAAGAGTCGTAAGTAATTGCAGTTTAACGTGAAAAATGTACATGTGATAGAATGGAGCACAATGGAAGATTCAAAAACATGCTCACTGGAGAAATCTTGTTAGGTTTGCTTTGTCCAGATTAAGAAACAGTAACTTTATCAACATCTGGCATCCCTTATACATTGTGAAGATGGACGTTATGTTACTTTATTATGAGAAATTATTTTCTTTACAGAAAGGTGGTTCTAATCCTTCGCTAGAATAAAACAAAACAAAAAAGGAGTAAAGAGCTGACTAGATGTTAAGTGCTTGCTAGAAATGATTTTTAAAATGTTTCTGTATGTAAAATTTGCTGACAAATTTTGGTAAACCAGTTAAAAATAAAAATTAGTTTAAAAATCTTGGAGAAAATGCCTTTTTGCCCACATGTTTAAAATTGAAAATCAATTTATAGACAGGTAAAGGAGATCTGTGGAGTGTACAAAATTCCTCTTATTTAGAGATCAAATGGCCATGGGACCAAAATTTAGTGTTCTGTGCCATGTAGCCACCCAGTCACTGGTTTCACGTCACGGCTTAAGAAAATACTGGCATTTTAGTTTTTGTGAAGTAAGTCCTACCACCTTGTGCATATACACAAAATCTAAAAAGGGGAGGGGGCTCAAAAAGGTTTTTCATTTGTTTTAAAGATAACAGAAGGCAAAAGAATATGGAGCTTCAGTAAGCTCAAAAAAATATATTTGCTGGCTGATCGCTGATTTGTATGCACTACAAAACGATTCTATAAATAAAACCAATATATCATTTCTTAATCATAACCCCATCAAAACCAAGTATTTCCTAATTATTCTTTCAGTGTCAAACGTACACCCGAGAGTTGACATTTCATTTTTCCGGGCTACCACTACCTCACATGGACTGAACTAGATGTACTCTTGTAAGTAAGACAGTACACCACTGCACAATGGTATCCAATTTGAAGACTAAGGGTAAAGGAAATTCTTTGGGAAAAAATGAAAATCCATCAAGCTGAAAAATCTAAAACTAGTTCTACTTTCTAATAAAAAATACATAAAAGTGCATCATCAGAATAAGGAATTCTTATGCCAGTTTGTATTGCAAATTTTCCAAACAATGCATCAAACATAAATCAAATCCAGATGTCAATTATGGATACAAATATAGCTTGAGGTTCTTTTTTTTAAAGGCAGTAATTTTTTTTTTAAATAGTTAATGCAACTGTTGCTAACACAATAATAACAGTACTCCTGGCTTCACATACTAACCTGGACTTCCGATCAAGTGCTGATTAGCCCAGTGAGGGAGGTCACCAAAAAAACCTAATAAATTTTCAGTCTTGTCTAGTCTTGTACCCTCCATTCTCCTTTTTTAGCATTTGAAGACAACAGGTTGAGTTGGCAGATATTGTTTATGGACCCCTGAGGTTGTTTTTACCGATTCAATCTCAATTTTATTGAATTCTTGATAACCGGAATAGGATTTGCAGGGAGAGCAGGGATATCAGAAAGGTCTGTACTGGATGTTTTCTGAGAATGAAAGCAAAGAACACATACATACATCACCATTCATAGCACTGTAATTTAACAATGAGATGTACTTCCCACTGCTTTATTTCCTATTTCTTCCTTTAAAAAAAATGGAACCTTATATAAGGAAAATATTACAAATTTAAAGAAAAATACTGAGATGCCAAAATGGAATGCAAATAAACACAACTATTATTATCACATTATTGGTTCTATATATGCAGGAATTTTCTAATAGTGTAAGTGTAAAAGTACAGATACTTTAACAATACTTTAGCAATAGATATAAAACTATTCAAATGTAGCTCTCAAAAATATGTTCCTTTAAGAACCTACATGTTTATGGCATTTTAAATTTGTGATACACTGTGATTTTTCTCACTCTAAATATATACTTTTGTTCAGAAAAAAAGAACAATCTACAGTATAATTATCAAGTTAATGTTAAACTGTATTTACTTATAACACAGCAGTAATATTAACTGGTATTGGAGCACCCCCGTGTGGGAGAATACTTAAAGTTCACCTTATAAAAAACAGCAGTTGTCAGTAAATTTACTATTTCCTGACACTGTAAATTCTAAAATTAAATCTATATAAATGAGCAAAAATGTAATTATCCTAAATTTTAGGCAAGTTTTCCTTATTACGTTAAGGAGATTAAATTACAAGTCTTCTTTAACATTCAAACATGGAAACAAGGTATAAAATGTTTTATTCTGGAAAATTCCAAACATCAGACAAAAGTAGAGCATATAAAGGAAACCCTGTGCATTCATTATGGAGCTTCAACTGTCAAATCAAAGCCAATCTCTTGACCTCCCAACTCCAATCCCTGGATTACTATGAAACAATCTCAGAAACTCTACCACTCATCTGTAAATATTTCAAGATTTACCTCAAAACAATAAAGATTCTTTGTTAAATATTAACACCTTCACAGAAATAAGCATACTCCTAATACCACAAAACATAGAAAGGTTTTTTGTTGTTGTTGTTGTTGTTGTTTTAATCAACATAACCATACTTTTATGTCATTAGGCGGTTTTTCTCTCACTGGCTTTATGAAAAAAAAAAAATCCTACTCATAAAAGTCCCTAAAAAGCAAATATCCGATGGGTCTTAATGACTGCAGGGATAAACTAAGAAAGACCAATGTATGAAACTACCACCTCAGAAAGTAATGTGGCAATCAAGACATGGAACCAAAATCAAAGTACCGTTTGTCCATGTATCAATTTTAAGCACATTTCCTCTCTTAGTACTTTAGTTATCCCCCCAAAGTTGTATTAGTTAGTTTATGGAAATAAAAAATAGTTCACAAAATAAACATAAAATTCATATATCTAGACGTTATACCCAGCAAAAGCATATTTTAATATGATCACATTAAAACAACTGAAGCACAAAGCTGCAAAATATCGTCAACGTTGTCAGGACGGCAATACCACTAGCCACCTGATATCTCAGTTATTTTGTAGAGGTTAATCAGTATGATATTTACCTTAAAGAAAATATTTACTTTATGTCAGTTTCATCTAGACTCACTTGGGATTATTAAATTGGAAAGGATTCAAGAAGGAAACAATCATTTCACAACCAAAATAAAGGTTTGTAAATCAATAAAAAAGATTACAGATGCCTACATAAGAACTGTCACAGTAGAACTGTTAGCACAGATGAAAAAACAGCTGTGAAGAACTATGGAACATACACAGAACTAACTGAAAATCAGTACTGAAAATAGATAAAATCAGAATAAAAAGAGCGTATCAGGCTTGTAAACAAATCCATTAAGAACGGTTTTCAAATTTTACTTTGACATTTAAATAAAATGTTTGTAGTGTACAAAGGTATGAATTACATCATCTTCTTTTGGTTTTTTTTTTTTTTGAGATGGGGAGGGACATGACACCAGTTCCATCAAATCTAGGGCTCTTTCTTTATAATAATACATTTACAGGCTTGCAAATACTTTCACAAAGATAATTTAATAGGCCAATATGAATGTTCATTTTAATTCAATATACCATACTAATCTTAGAACATTGACAAAATTCTTGCTTTTTGCACTTAGTACCTGAGAGGCCAACAGAGAAGCCGCTGTCTGAGTAGTTTCTGATTGAGTTGTATTTGTCTCTGTATCAAGTTGTTCCTGTGAGACAAAGAGGATGGGGAGGGGGGAAAAGAGACTTAAAAAGAATAAAAGAACATAACTGGGTCTGGTGGCTAATAACGAAGACAAACTGGAAGACAGGAGGGATCAAGAGAGAGATGTGACTACATTACAAAATCATTTATTAAGCCTTGTTGTAGGCTATTTCAACATTTCAGCTATTTCTATTTGTCTATTTAAATTCTTATACGGCATGGTCAAAATATCTCATGACTTTACCATTAGCTCCAACCTAGGCATTTTAAGTAAATGATAATTAAAGACATGCACAGGTATATTAGGAAATACTGTCCAGACAATAGCTGACAAATATAAACCCAAAGAAACCTCTAAATTATGTGTGTGTGTGGGGGGGGTCTCATTCAATATTTTTAAGTAAAATTACTTAGAAACACAAAATTATTGAACATATTTAATTAAAAGTAAAGAATACATCCTTAAGGAATATCTCCCTCCTTATGGTCTCTCCTCCCCTGCCTAATAATTAGTACAGATTCCACTATAAACAGAATCAGAAAACACAAAGTAAACCATACCATTCTACTGTTCTTAACTTTTTTTTTTCACTGCTCTTAACTTTAAAGCAGTGTACAAAAGAAAATTAAAATCAAAATAAGCAAAAACTTAAAACTTCTATAAAAACATGATGCAAATATAAAACCACGAGGTAACTAAGACGCAGAGCTAAGAATGGAAAAGGTGCAGCCTTTCTGGAAGACAACTTGGCAATTTGTATCAAGTTTCAAAATTAAGTTTACTATTTGCTCCAATAATTCTTTCATTAGTTCATCCAAAATAAATATGAAGGGATGACAGGCATTTAGTTATAATAAATACTATAGTAGGAAGATGCAACTTTGTTTTTAAAGGAAATAATTGGTAACAATAAGGAGGCAGATAAAATGTTAATAGCCTTTTATGTGGCCATTAATATTCAGATTATATAATGACATCAACATACTTTCTTGGTTTACAAAGTGACTTAAAATTAGAAAGCATAGGCATCAATATTGTATGCGCATATGAAGGCACACACATACTACAAAGACACCAAAGAATACACATTAAAATAACATCACAGGAATCTGGATAATTTGGGGGGAGGATGGGACTTTTCATATATTTCAATTTCTAAGAATATGATACTGAGTCTTCCAATCTCTCTACCCAATCTCCCTCATTCAAGGCCCATGCATCCCAGCTTCCAGCCAAAACCTTGTGCTGAAAACAAGTTCTCTAGTCATACTGCACTATCAAGCCTAACAGGGAGATGACTATCTCATCATGGAAGCCCCAATCCTGTTTCCTGCAAGGACCACTTTAATGGTAATACATTCTTCTTGAAGTCATTTCTGCAGTCAAAAATACCTTACTATTCTTGCCCCTTGGAGTCCTCAACCATCAATGACTGTGATTTTCTTTATTACTATAATTACCTGCATCTACAAGATATCTCCTCTGTTAAATTATAAGCTCTTTTAAACGTATAGTACATGTCTCACCACTGTATTCCCTTTAGCATTAATATTAAAAAGGAAGAAATTCTTCTCTAAAAACAAGAGAAAAATCTAAAATCTACAGCACAAAATAGAGTATAATACTGTACAGACATTTCTAACACATCTTCTGTACTCTTAATTGTGTATGTATTCTAAAGGCTAAATTAGTATACCTTTGCTTCTGTTTTATCATGTCCACTCAAAGCAACACAGTTAGCATCTTCACTTGTTTCATCCTGTTTTTAAAAAAAAAAGCTTTATTCTCTAAAATGAAAAATTTAGATTATTTGCCAATCAATGCTTTACAAAAATTTTTCAAACCTATAAAGTAATCAAGCCTGTAAGACCAAGTATAGCCTTAAAAGAGATCAGAGCTACCCTTCTAAAATGGTTTAAGATCACCACCACTTAAAGACAATGCCAAAACCAGTAAATTCATGCAATGGTTTTAGTAAGGAAGAATTCCCTAATAAAACAAATGCAGAAATGGGGGATACTATCATCCCTGCTAGAGGAAAGCAACACATTAGCACATATAAAGCTTAAGAAATTCTTTAAAGAACATTTCTTTAGCTTTTCCAAAAGTAATTGACCAGTGTTACACACATAGCCCCTTTCCTAGTAAGAACTGTTATTAACACCTTAAAAACCACAAGTTTTGATACATCTTACTTGAATCTTAGAATCTATACTGACCCTGTTTTCCAAGGTTAATTTACTAAACAGAGCTAAAATTTAATTTCAATAACGGTTTTATAAAAAAAGTCAGAAATCACAGGCTTACATATAGGTTAGAAAAAATTTAATTCCACCAAAACTAATTCCAACAAAGACCTTACTTATTACCAAGTTTTAAAATACAACTTAAAAGGGCTGGGGATTTAGCTTAGTGGTTCTGCTGCCTGCCTCGCAAGCACAAGGTCCTGAGTTCGATCTCTGATACCAAAAAACCCCAAAAAACAACAAAAAAAATCTGAAATATAACTTAAGTCACAAATGCACAAACATGGCTGGATACGGAACACTATGGAGTTATTATTGTGATAAACATTCTGCGGTGGTTTTTAGGAAGTCTTTAGATACACACTAAAATACTTATGGTTAAAATTATATGCCTGAGTTTGCGTCTAAACAATGGAGAAGAGAGTGAGGTGTGTGCATAAATGAAACAAGGCTGGCTATGAGGGAACTGCTGAAGCTAAGCAATGCAAATGAGCTAGTGAATTATACTTGTAAATGAAATTTCCCAAACAAGTTTCTGAAATGGATAGCTTTAGCCATATAACCCACAAGATCTGAGCAATCTTTTTTCTCCTTTTACTAATTTCTATATACTGAAAAACATTAGGACATGATGCACATTAATCAGAACTAAACCAGCTCACCTCACTCTTACCTACATGTATACATGTTAGTGGACACAGCAAGACTCATATTTCCTTCTGATTCACTAAAATTTCTAATACCAGTAATCATGAGCAGAGAACAAAAGACTCGCTTTCGGAGGAATTCAATGTTAAGGTATTTATACTACAATGCACTTCTTCATCTTAGCACTGGTGTAGGCCTCAGTTTTAGCCCTGAATCTAACTTAAATTAGTTTTCTATCTGGAAATGCCACTGAGCCTCAAGTTTCTCTGCTGGGAAGTGCAATTACCCTATGTACAAAATAAACGATGATACCTTCTGTATATCTCAAGCTTAAGCTCAGCCTGGGCAATACAGCAACTTGGCAAGAACCTATCTCTAAATAAATACAGAGCCGGGGAGATACTGTACCTCACTGCAAAGGCTCTGGGTTCAATTCCCTCCAGGGGGATGGCATCAAAAAATTTGATTAATTTTAATGTAGGGATTTTATTTAGCTCCATATTTGAGCAAAGAGACTATCAAAAAAAAAAAAATCAATGAGGTATCAGGGAAATTTGAATAGACACGAGACAGGCATGTTAATGAACTTAATTTTTTTGAAATGGGATCATTGTTTGTACATGATTTTATATACATAATTTAAAATTTCTAATGCATTATATGAACAAAGTACAAATGTACAGAGTACAGAGTAAGGTACAGAGATGGTCTGAGAGTTCAGAATGGCTGCTATTGGTAGACACACAGATGCAAATGATTCTCTTTACAGCCTTTTTTCCTTTTGGTACCGGGGATCAAACTCAGGACCTCGCGCTTGCAAGGCAGGTGCGGTACCACTGAGCTAAAACTCCAGCCCTTTGCTTTCAAATATATTTTTAATTTTTAATACTGTGTAAGATTTTCATATTCCTATTGCCTTTCTAAACTATAGGGCATGATCTTTATTCTTCCAATATAACTACAAACAAAATTACAAAAATGGACTGGTACATATTTATTTACTAAGAGCACTCACTGTGCCTTTTAAAAGTTAAACATTCAAAGGCTAAGGGCCGGGGATTTTAGCTCAGTGGTTCTGGCGCCTTCCTCGCAAGCAGAAAGTCCCGAGTTCGATCCCCAGTACCAAAAAAACAAAGCAAAACAAAAGAAAACGGAGACTAAAGTTATGTTTATAGCCTTAATGGGGGGGGGGGGCGGCGGCAACCTGAATGCTTGAAATGTTCTGAGAACTCACAATACCACCAATAGGCGAAATGAGGAATTTACACCAAAACTAGCAGATTCTTAGGTTGCTGTACAATGCAGCCACAAGGCAAAGTTTATAAGAAGATTCCCCCAGGTCTAACTCCTAAAAGGGCTCTGTCTGACCCAACGTTTCTGGAGGCCCTAACATCTCTATTTAAAAAAAAAGGAGACAAAACAAAAACCCTGAAAATGGAATTCAACTGAGGATAAAAAATCACTGACCTAACAGATAATTACACAGACAGGTTTTCAAGGCCCATTTTGTAATAAAATATGATGCACTATACTAACTTTCACTCTTACTTAGCATTATAGGAGTGACAAAATTCATCGAATTATTTTCAGTTAATAGTGGCTATTTTTTATAACAGGTGTTCAATTAGGGACAAATTACTTTCACCACCAGTAATCAAAATGGATGCCATAAGAAACCTAGATTATTTTTTCCATTCTAATAAGTTCCTAAATAACAACAACAACAAAAAAGTTCCTAAATAACAAACTTTTGGCCAAAAATAACAATGGTGGTTGTTTTTTGTTTTTCTGAGACAGGGTCTCGCTCTGCAGTTTAGGGTAGCCTTGAACTCACCATGTAGGCCAGGCTAGCCTGGAATGTACAGCAGCCTCCCAAGTGCTGGAATTACAGGTGTGCATCACCAATACCTGGCCAAAAAGGACAATGGTATTCCTGACTGTGGACTGAGATCTCTGGGCAATGGTGAAGGACTCACTAATATGAAAACATGAGAACTCCTTCAGAGATGAACGGTATAACAAGACTACAAAACTACTTGTAAGTTAAGACTTTCACCAAGGGGCTGATAGCACTTGCCTAACACAGCCAACACTCTGGGTTCAATCCCCAGCTCTGCAAAAAGCAAAACAAAACACCTCATACCAAATCAACATACCCTTACTGAGTCTTTGATGAGGTAAGCCATTACTATAAAAAGTTAAAAGTACTGCTAGAACACTCCCTGAATCCAATCATTCAAGGTCCTCAAACTAATCTGACTACATGGTTCAGTGACAGAGCAGTGCTTAGCATGCACAGGGATCCCAGTTAAATGCCCAGAAACCTCTAGTCCATCAATCCTTTAATAACAAGTATAGTATAAAAACTCCACTTGTATCACAGAAGAAAAAACAAAACAAAAAAACCCCTAAAAAACAAAACAACTGTCCATAAGGGACACCAAAGACTCAAAATATATAGTTATTAAAAAATTAAGATGGATGGATGTGGTGGCACATGCTGGTATTTCTAGCACTTTAGAAGACTGAGTGAGGAGGATCTCAAGTTCAAGCCCAACCTGGGCAACTTAGCAAGCCCCTATCCCCAAATGAAAAGGGCTAGTGCTGTAGCTCAGTGTGAAAGTCCTGGGTGAAATCCCCAGTACCACACATACTGCCCCTTCACACACCAAAAAAATTATAATTTTGTGATAGACTATACTTGCTTAAAAGGACCAAGAATACAGCTCAGTGGTACACCACTTCCCTACCATGTACTAAGTCCTAGGTTTAATTCCAAGCAATAGCAGGTACTCCCCCAGCCCGTCTACCCCAAAGAATGGGATTTACAAAGAGGTAGTTACTAAGAGTGGAAAATGCGAAGAAAAACTATGGCATAAAAGCATTATGGACACAATAAAATTCTTCTAAAGGCCTTGCTCCTCACTTCTGGCCCACAAGAAGGTTTTTTGGGTTTTTTTGCAGGATTTAAGAATACACAAGATGGTGCAGCTATGGTAATTAATGTAATTTCTCTATTTTTGTGTAAGTGGTGGTGTGTATACATATGTGTAAATATACATATATACCTCTTCTGTTTTGGGTTTCTTGGGACTCTCTTCTTTATGAGGGGAAGATGTCCTCTTGACTCCTGCTATAGTATTAGATATTTTTGTTGCTGCGTTTCCTGAAGGTCTAGGTGGTGGGTTTACCAGACGTGTTGTGGAAACAACTCTGGAGACTGTAGGCTTTGGTGGTGGCGAAATGGCTGGCTGTGTGGCAGTTTGAGGAATGCTTTCACTCGATGTACCTAAACAGTAAGTACACAAATAATACAAATAAAATAACCCTATCAACATCAAGTTATAAGCTTTTCTCTGATTTGATGAAAACCTTTATACAAGAGCACTAAACACTGGGCTCCAACGACTTAATCACAAACCCATTTTTTTCAAAATGAAGGTTAAAACCAATCATAATGTAGAATTCTCTGAAACATCACACCAATCTCTTACCCCCTGAGCTGTCACTGGAATTTGTTTGTGGCACGGAGACTTCAGGAGACTGGATGTTGGTCACAGATGCTGCCGTCACAGCTGGAGCAGGACTGTTTCTGCTAACAAGAGAAAATCCCCTCCAGATGAATTAAAAGTTTAAAAGCAAATACAAAATTAAGCACAAAAAAAATTCAATAGCAATATTTAGTATCTGCAGGTCTAAAATAAATGATTGTTTGATTTTCCAACACACATGCTTTTGTGACTTTAATAAAATATAATCAACAATCAAAGGCAAACATTCTATAAAGCAGCACTGACCAGTAGAACTGTGATGAAAGAAATGCTATCACCTGTGCTATTCAATATGGTGGCCACTATAAAGATGTGGCTATTTTGTGATTGAAATATGGCTTGTGAGAAACTGAGTGTTTAATTTTATTTAGTACTAAATTGCCACACATGGTTAGTGTCACATTGGACAGAATGGTTCTAAAAGATCCTGTTTTGAACTGATTTGGAGTATAAAAGAATCCTACAAAGAAAGAACAAGAAGTCAAGCATGGTGGCACATGCCTGCAATCCCAGCGACAGTAGCGGATGCTTAGGCAGGTGGATACCAAGTTTGAGGCCAGCCTGGACAACTAAATGAAACTCTGTCTAATAATAAGAAAACAAAAAGGGCTGGGGATTTAGCTCAGTAAAGGAGCTAGAATCTATCCCCAGAGTGAGTGTGAGTGTGTATGTGTGTCTGTGTTGTTGGTGGTTAATGCTTTGTGAATAGAAAATTGTTTAAAAAATTACAAAGGACATATTCAGGTTTGCAGTCTTCAGATTACTTTCATGATTAGCTCAAATACACTCCATGCATACAAAGTCCAAAGGAAAAACACCACTGCACTCACCCACTACACCCAGGCACTGCCTGTGTCAACTTTCCTAGGGGAGTCATCCCCAAACTGCACCTCTGGGTTATACACTGGCAGTGCAATTCCTAAGTGTTCTTCAAAAACTGAAGTATACAGTATATGTATTATTCTCAAAAGGTCTCAAAAGTGGGCTGGGGAGGTAGCTCAGTGGTTCCGCCGCCTGCCTCGCAAGTGTAAGGACCCAAGTTCGATCCGCAGTACCAAAACCGCCCCCCAACAAAAAAGGTCTCCAGTTTAACTGTCAACTTATTAACAAAGTAATAAGAATAACCATCACAGCTGAAAATACTAAACTATAAAGGCCTCCCTTGAAAATATGGGTATGGTGGAATCAAATAGAAGAATTTCTAGAATGATACACTATAATATAGAAACTAAATACAAGCAGAACTTATGCTGTAATTTTTATGCCATACACATATATCCCTTTCAAATGTTTTTTTGTTTTGTTTTTTTGTTGTTGTTTTGAGACAGGGTCTCACTATGTAATTCAAGCTGGTTTTGAACTAGGTAGCCCAGGCTGGCCTCAAACTCAAGGCAATCCTCCTGCCTCACCCTCTCAAATGCTAGGATTATAGGTGAGTCACCACGCCTGGCTCAAATACTATTTTTAACTGCTTTAACTATTTCTAATGAGATATTTAATTCTTCCAGAAAAGGTTTAACTGAAACCACTCCACAAAGATCTTTACTTTCTTCATAAGGTTTCAGAGGTACATTCACTTGTGTGTATAAGCAACTCTAGGACAGAAAGATAGTTTTGCACTTTTGCATATTCTCCTTAGCACACCATACAGCTCAATATATTTGTAGCTAAGTACAAAGAGCTGAAGAGGAAAAGAACGAAATATCCATCCCATAAATCAAGGCATATCAATCTCAAAAATGAAATACAAGTATACACATACAAAGCTAAAAATTACTGTCCCCAAACTAGGAATTATTACTTTGCTTTTTAAATATTAGATGGTAGAATAAAAAATACCACTCTAATTGGATGTCTTTAACAATCACAAGAAAATACATCTTAATGTGTTTCATCCACAGCCACTGAATGCTTCGGCTGTCTCCTTACTTGTCCTAGCCTTTGGGTCAAGAAACCCAAAAACAATTCCTCTTTTCCTGATATGTATAGGAAGAAGAATTTCCTTGAGTCAAGTATTCCCAGTACTGGAGCCTGAGGAAAGGCAAACACATACTGCTTACCCCTGAGAGCTGCCAGAGCTGTTCAATGGACTGGTCTTCGTAGCACTGGTGGGTGAAGGCACAGACATGCTGTTGTCACTGTCCATAGACAAGTCAAGGCTGCTGTCGTTCAGAGCTGTTAATTTTACTCCTTCTGTTGAGTGCTGCAATCAATAAAGTATTTCATTAAATATAACTTTCACACAGGCCTCTGAAATATGAACACCCTTAACTGACACATACACCCTACTAAAAATGAAAAATTGTTAAGTTTATTAAGATTCTAAGTGCCATGGTGATTGTAAACGGTAACAATCTGGGAGTCACACACTGCTCAAGTCGAGTTAGGATAAGAGAAAACAAGACAAGAATGCTATCTATATAAAGCATACATACTGACTGGAAGACACTATGCAAATTAAAAACCACTATAAAGGGGCCGGGGATTTAGCTCAGTGGTTCCGCCACCTGCCTTGCAAGCGCAAGGACCCTAGTTTGATCCCCGGTACAAAAAAGAAAAAATCCACTATAAATATGAAAATTTAAGAGTCTTGAGTCTTGAACCAGTGGACTATAAAAATATATACACATAAGAGTTTTAAAATACCATGACACTAGCAACGACTATCTCTGGCTACTTGCATGAAAGTGGTTTTGTTGTTTTTTATAATTTCTGAGAGGGAAAGGAGGATTGACATGGTCTTATTTTGTTGATAAGACTGGCCTTGAGCTCCTAGGCTCATGAGATCTTCCTACCCCAGCCTCCCAAGTGGCTGTGATTTTAGGTGCATACCACCATAACGGGGTACTACTTATAGTATATTTTTAATTATCTCATAATGAACATAAGCACTATATAATTCCAAAAATACCAACCATAATTTACTACAATTCATTATTATTTATCAATAAATGAACTCTCAAAAGAAAGCTTTCTAGTACTTTAATTGCAATTTAGATTTTAACATGGTCCATTTATTATCAGTCCGTTAACTATCCTGTGAAAAATAGCAAAGGAAAATTAAACTTACTATCACCATATAGAACTAAATGTTATTTCTGCTTCTAAAAACAAACAAACAAAACACAGTACTCTAAAACAGAACATACAGGAAAACCAAAAATCTATGGATGGTCTCACAGGATTAAAATTAAAATCTGAAGTCACAAAGTTTAAAATTTTGCTAGCAAGGGCTACTACACTATTACACTGATTCCTTTGGTTTCATTCTTTCCCCAGAACACACTCAGTGTTTATTACAGAAATCCTTGGGGTTCTGTGCATGTGCGCTTTTTGGGGGGTTTTTCCCCTTCAGTAGCAGGAGTCAAACTCACAGCCTGCTGCATGCTCAGCAAGGACTCCATCACTGAGTGACACCTCGGCCCCAAACGAAAACATTTTAATGAAAATTACATACACTGCTGGCAAAGACTCATTCCAAATATATATCTGTATGTGAATGCTCTGCTCTTCAGTTTCCCAAATGACAAGATATTCTTTGATATAGTACTAAGGAAGGCCCTTATGGAAACAAATCAAAAAGGATCAAATGGGAAAGATGAGATCTGATAGAAGGGAGGAAAGCGAATAAAGCCATTTGCTTATGAAGTCAGTGGTCAAAGCATCTAATATTCTAAATAAGCATATTTCCTACTCAAACACATTCACAAACTTTACTCTTCAGCAGATGTGAGGATCTGTTTACTAAGTAAATTATGTTCATGGCGGGGTGTGTGGGGGTGGGGGTGGTACCAGGGATAGAACTCAGGACCTTGTACTTGCAAGGCAGGTGGCAGAACCACTGAGCTAAATCCCTGGCCCAGTAAATTATGATCAATAACATACAATTACCAGCCTGACCAAACACCTGTGAGATAGTAGGTTAAAGATGTGTAAATGTGAAGACTGTAACTGCTTGTTCTGAAAACAAAACAGCATTCTACTTTGCTCAGTCTGTGTCTATATCAAGTGTAGTAAGAAGAGGCCTCAAAGCCAAACAATCATAAATATTCTAAAAATAGGACAAAGAGCATACTACAGAGAAACAAATGCTCATACTTTTTCAGTCAGACCTAGGTCCAATTCACAGCTTATACGGACACTTCGGCGAAGTTTCTCCTACCAAGAGTCAATACCTATGGGTTGCTGGAACATTAAATATAGAAAAAGAATATGCAAACAGGAGTTAAGAATAAGCATAGGCTGGGGATTTAGCTCAGTGGTTCCGCCATCTGCCTCGCAAGTTCAAGGTACCAAGTTCCATCCCTGGTACAAAAAAAAAAAAGAATAAGCAAGGTGGTTATTGTAGTACAGTACATGCCTGTAATCCAAGCACTCAGGAGGCTGAGGAAAGAGGATTTTGATGAGTTAAATGTCAGCCTGAACTACATAGCTGAGTCCCTGTCTCAAAACACCAAAACAAAACCAACCAACCAACCTGTCAAGGATTTGGGCTCTTAGACACTTGTTGCTTTTAGGTCCATGGGGGTTTTTTTGGTTTTTGTTTTTTTGGCGGTACTGGGGATTGAACACAGGACCTTGTGCTTTCAAGACAGGCAAAGCACCACTGAGCTAAAACCCCAGCCCACTTGTTGCTTTTAAGAAAGAAAGCTAGACCAGGCATGGTGGCACCCGCCTGTAATCCCAGCACTTGGGAGGCTGAGGCAGAGGACTGCGGCAAGATAAAGGCCAGATTGAACTACATAGCAAGACCTTGTCTCAAAAAAATAAAGCAAATCAAAAAGAAATACAGGAAGAAAGTGCTATTTTAAAAATTGAAACTAGGAAATAATCTAAATTATTTCAAATACAGGAATGGAAACTAAGAAGCCACTAAAAAGGTCATTTGGATAAACGGTCATAATATAGTAAGCACAAAAAGAGACAGATCCTAAAACACTAATTTTCATCAAAAATCTTTTAAAAATACACATTATGTGTGATAATGTGTATCGAACACTCGCTGTAGAAATATACTAAACATTAACAGCAACTATTATAAATAAGATTGTAGTTGCTTCATTTGGTAATTTTTAACAGTAAATTTCTGATCATTAATAATTCTCTTTATATTCAAGATGCTTAGTTCTACCTAGAAAAATACTAGTTTAACACAGTCAAAATAAAACATTCTAAAATTCACTTAAGCCAGGAATGGTGGTACATATACACTGGAAGGCTGAGGCAGGAATACTACAAATTCAAGGCCAGTTTGCGCAGGCAAATTATAAAGATCTTGTCTCGAAGATAAAAAGTAAAAAAAAAAAGGGCTGAGAACATAGCTCAATGTGAAGAACCTGGGCTCAACCCTAGTACCAAAAAATTCAGTTATAGTTGTTCCAAATAACAGTACTGTCAATCAGTAGAACCTTGAATACTGGAAGATCCAGTTATCACTGTTGTAAGTACCTTCTCATAAAGGAGAAACAGCTAAGTGCTAAAGAACACAATCTTTTTCAAAAATTTTTTGGTACTGGGGATCAAACTCAGGACCTAGCGCTTGCGAGGCAGGCACTGGCATCACTGAGCTAAGTCCCTGGCCCTGAAGAACACAATCTATTTACATTCACTTCTGAAAACAAAAAAGTTTTATATGTTTTTTCCATGCAGCAAATTTATATTTAATTGCAACTGTCTTAACTTATCAGTAATATGCTATCAGAGTGGAAGATATAACTCACTGATAGGGCACCTGCTTAGTATGCATGTACATAGCCCTGCCCTGGGTTCTATCTCCAGCACTGCAGATAGACAGATAGACAGATAGACAGACAGACACAAAAATAGTACAACAAAGGATGATCAGAAGGCAAAGTTTAACATGACACTAAAATGGCTGAACAGTAAAATTTTGTTATATACATACACTACTATAAATTATGCATTTTGGTCACTTTCTAGATTAATTCATAAACAAACAGGTTAAGCAGAGATTTTTTTCTCCCAGTGTAAGGAGAGAATAACAACATCACAGGCTGAGGGTACAGCGCAATGGGTTCAATCTCTAGTATCCTCCAAAAAAAAAAGACCAAGAAAAGTAACATAAGACCTTAAAATTTTCATTTTAGACAACCCCCCCCCAAAAAAAGACAACTCATGTAGCTATTATTAAGCTCTGAAAGATGATGGTGATAACAGTACAGGAAGTTACCACATCCATTTCCTATGTGCCAGGCATTAGTCTACACCACTCTACATGGACTGACTCATTTAATCATCACGAAATACCTAATGAGACAGGTAAAAATATTATCCCAATTTCAACTATAAGAAAAATCAAGAACAGATGTTTGTTACCCAAGTATCACAGATAGGAAACAGCAGAGCCTGAGTTTGAACCAGTAAGTCTTAACTCTAGAGTCCTTGTGCTTAACTTCCATGACTTTGTACAATAATACATTCTACATTCTAAGAAAAAGCATTATAAATTTTAAGCCTTTTCCAAATATTATCCTCAATGTAGTGGTCATCATTCACTGATATATACTTTTATTTCATCTCCTCTCTTAAGTATATTGCTTTGTAAATTTTTAAACTTGTAAACTTTACATGCAAGTATCAGAAGGTACACATACATCTGCATCTCTAATAGATGCAATTGTAGTTCAAGTATTTTCACTGGTGTGTACTATAAAGTATTTATTCCATTACAGGAATATGCCAACAGGCTTATATACTGTTTTACTTTGTTTCTTGAGATGGGATCTCACTACGTTGTGCAGCTGGTCTCAAACTCGTGGGCTCCAGTGATCTGTCTCAGCCCCGAGTAGATGGGACTACAAAACTGTGCCTCTGAACCCAGCAAGCCATCTGTTTTTGAAACCAATTAAAGAACAAATGATGTTGTTATTGTGCATTAAAATTCCCACCATGACCACTATTGAGCCCAAAAAAGGAAAAACTGGCTCGGAGTTATTTAAAAGAAATCTAAAACAACATACTACAAAATTTTACCTCTGGTGAACTCTGTCAGTCCTTTATAATCAATAACTTCTCATTTAAAAATAAGATAATAACTTTTAAAATAATGTATTTTCCTACATTTACCAAAGATGGTGATTTCATTTTTTAAACATGTAACTTATTTAATCATATAATTTGACTAATTTTATTTTATTTACTTTTTAAAAGGAGAAAAGGCTGTAATCCTAGTACTCAGGAGGCAGAGGCAGGACGACTGCTGAGGCCAGCCTGGGTTATATAGTATGTTCAAGGCCAGTCTGAAGTATGTAGTTAAGACTTTGTCTCAAAACAACCAACCAACCGATCAACGCTTGAGAGGAATTCAGACATTCATATGAGATTTTAAAATGCTTTAACAATAAAAGGCATGGCCAGGCATGATGAGTTCAAGGCCCGCCTGAACTACAAGGTGAGACCCTGTTGCAAAAAAACAAAAATAAATAAATGACGTGAGGGGGAAAAAAAAAGAATGAATGTAATTATTATGCATTACAAATATAAATAAAAATTTTAAAATAATAAAGAATCTGGGTGTATACAAAATAAAGATATGAAGTATCACTACCAATTATGTCTGAGGCAAGTGTATCCAAGAAAACTGATTAGAGCCCAGGCATGGTGGTACAGGCCCGTAGGCCCAGCACTCAGGAGGTTAAGGCTCAAGAGTTGCCACGAGTTTGAGGGAAGTTTGGGGTACCTAGTAAGGTCAAGGCCAACTTGAACTAGACAGAGGAACCCTGTCTCAAAAGAACAATAACAACAAAAATTTAAAAAATAAAAAGAAAACTGATTAGAGCAAGTTTTTACATAATAGAACTGCTCTCATAAAACAGGGTTTTTAAATGCAACAATCTATTTCAGGTGATCCAGTAATCTAAATTCTAAAATACTGATAGGATAGATGCACAAAACATGTTAGTAAGGCTGTTGTAAGTACTCTCTATGTTTACCTTTTTCTTTTTCTGAAGCACATGATTAGGTAGTAGTTGATGGAGTTGCTTTCTTTTTACATGCATTGCAGCAATTTTCATATCCACCTCAAACATCTTGCTGTTTATTGCTTGCCTATAAACTATACAATTAGACATTGTTACAAGAAACAGAAACATTATAATAAAGCCAAATTTAAATTCACTGAGGTAACAAGGATTTATTCCAAGTAGGGATCCTTATTCCCATTAACACTGCATACAGAATTATCAGATCAAGACATGTCCCCTAGTCTGATTTAATTCACTGTCTAAACAAACTTTACCATAAGATGCACATAATAATGAATAAAAGTACAAAGTATACTAAATCTTCCAGGGCAGTGACTCTTTATGTAGCTCATAAGGTTGTAACTTTAAAAAATATCAGAATTATAGGAAAAGGATTTAAAAATCCATATTCTTTCATGCTACTTGTATAATTTAAAATTTTACTCCCAGTATGTTAACACATGCATCAAATCAAATTTACTAAACTCTACCTAAAGATACCTTTATCTGCAAGATAAAATTTAGTGATAACATACTATTATAAAAATAACAAAAGTCAAAGGTTTAAATAAATTTATGCTACAAATAAATGCTTTACTTATTATTTATGCTACAAATAAATCAACTATTAAAGTCCCAGGGCCCCAAAATGGGAAAAATCACTTATAAATACTGATTGAGCATTTAAACTGAGACTGTATTCACAATGTTGTAGGAACTGAAGATGTAACAGCGAATAAAGGAGACCAAGAGTTTCAGAGAGTCTACATTCTAGTGAACAGAATGAACAAAATTTAAAAGAAATATATTGCATGTCAGATGGTGGTAAGTACTATGGAGAAAAACTGAATAGGGAATAGGACAGGAAGCTCAGCCTAGAAGCTGAGTTAACATCTGATTGAAGATTTAAATGACTATGAGAAAGTGAGCTGAAAGTACCTACAGTAATAGCATTTCAGGGAAAGCAAACACCAAGAACCAGATGGCCTGAACAGGAAAATATGCCTGGAACAACTGAGGAACAAAAAAGAAAAAAGGCCAGAGGGTAAGGAGAAGTCCATAATCCCTCTTGCGCAACTTGTAAAAGCCAAACACTTCCAACATAGAAGTTTTTCCTTAAGGCCACTATCAAAATTCATCTGCAAACAAATTCTGCAATATTAACTGTTTGTGGCTATTGTCCTTTAACTTTTGCTTATGTGAATTCACCTGTTCTTCACAAAAAGTTTGTGATTACAAAGAGTTACTCCAAGTCCTGTTGGGTATCTTCCTTCTAACTTTACTATCTTTCTAGCCCTAGACATTTGGGAATTAAGAACTTTTAATAATGAGGTCAGAGAAGGTAAAAATAATGAGGCCAAGCTCAGGCAGAAGCCAAGGTATGGACTTTTATTCTAAGTGAGATGGGGTAGTCACAGGTAGCCATTACAGATTTTAAGCAGACAATGTACGATTTGGCTTAAAAGTAGCATTTAGAAGCTAGCTAAGAATATAAGGTAAACAAGGGCAGGAGAGAAAAGCTGTGGCAAGGAAAATAATCCAACAGAACAATAAAAGTGGTTTGAACTAGCATTAGAAATAATATGAATAAGGGAAAATCTCAATGTGTTCTGAAAGAGGCAAAATTATTTCATAATGGATTAATAACAAATAGTGAAAAAATAGTCAAATGACTCCCAAGATTTTTTTTTTTTTTTTTTTTTTTGGTACTAGGGATCAAACTTGGGTCCCTTGTGCTTGCGCAGCAGGCGGCGAAACCACTGAGCTAAAACCCCGGCCCTACTCCAAGATTTTTAACATGAACACCTGAACTACTTACTTGAAAAGTAGTTAGACTGGGGTTGAAAAGTTCTATTATGAACATGTTACACTTATTTTATTAAAAAATCACATTAAAAATTCCATTAAAATGTCTCAAGATATGTAAGTTGAGTATTTCTTTCCCCAAATACCTAAGAGATCTGTGAAAATCTACTATTCGGTATTACAATCTTTTAATAAACAGCTTAACCTGGATATAATGTACAAAATTTATATTCTAATTCAAGCAACTGTCCATAGCTTATTCATAAACTGATTAGGCTCTCATCAGAATTTTTACTTCCAAACAAGAACTTTGGTGGCACTTATGAGAAGGAAGAACATGACCCTATACAAGGCATCTTAAAAATCTGTAGGGATGTTTTTGTTGTCACATTTAAGTTATATCCTTAAATGTGGACTGCTTCACCCAGAGAACTACGCTGTACCTACTTTCTTAACAATGAAACTTTACTTGACAATTCTGTGAACCAAGAACTAATTTTACATAAAATCCAAAGTATTTTAATCTAAAGTTGTCAAGAACACAAAGACTACGTATCACAACTAGATCAACAGCTGGAGAGTACAGCTGAGTGGTGGAGTGCATACCTATCATGCGCAAGGGCCTGAGTACACTCCCCAGCACCAAATAAAAGAATAGAAAATCAGCACGTGGAGATTCCTCTAAAAACTAAAGATTCCATTTGACCCAGCTATGCCCCTTCTATGTATCTTCCCAAAAGAGTTCAAATCATCATATTATGGGGATATATGCATACAGGTGTTTATAGCAGCAAAATTTTTAATAGATTTTATGTCCACCAACAGATGAGTAGACAAAGAAAATGTTGTATTTATACACAGTAGAGTACTACTCTCCCATACAGAAAGATAAACGTGAGGCATTCCCAGGCAAATGGATGCAACTTGAGAAAAAGACATATAAGTTTGAATATTGCATGGTTTCTACTACATGAGAAAAGAGCAAAATAGAATAGAAGGTAGGCAGAAGTCTAAATAGTTCCTCAAATTATTCCATTGTTTCAAAAAATTTTACTATATATGCTAATTTATTTCATTTATATTATTAGTTTCTCTTAGAGCACTGAAGAGCAAGTTTTGTGCTTTTATCTGCTTGGTTCTTCTCCGTCAGTGAGTCTTTTTTGTTCATGACTTGTACTGTAACATTTTGGGTGTTCTTTTAAGATTATGATACAGAGTTATTAACTATTGTTATTCTCTAATTGTTTTGTTATGAAACATTTTTCATAGTCCTTTTTATATTCTTATTAATATCTACTTTATTACATTATGCTAAATGTGAAAAAAAATCACTTTTGCTTCTGTATCCAATTTCTATCATACCACTAATGCCAACACTGCTGATGGTTATCAGAATCACTACAAATAACATGTACTCTTGTAGGAACTCATAAGTAGCACTGCTAGAGGTTCTACATAAAGATGTAACCACCTGATTTCTGTCTTGTACTGTCGCTGTACCTGAGAATTTATCCTGAAATCCACACAACAGTCAGTCCTTATCCGTGGGCAGAATATGCCAAACCCCCATGGATGCCTGCAACTGCAAAAGTACTATACCCTCTCTGTACAGCAGTCCTTCCTATACTTAACGTTCCTATGATGAAGTTTATAAAATAGAAACAGTAAAACATTGACAAGAACTAACATTAAAAAAAAACAATTTTAACAATATATTGTAATAGGTGAAAGTGGGCTCTCTATAAATATTCTATTGTACGATGCTCACAATGCCTATATGACGGGATGAGGATGACTCAGGCATTTTGGATTAGCATTAAGCTACTATGTAAGGGTTACCTGAATTCAAAAATAGCAATATGACAACTGTCTGGTAACCTAGAACTTCAGTGTCTACAACACAGTTTCACATTGGTACTCAGCACAGCACACAACTTAAAATTTGTGAATTATTTCTGCAATATTTACAGAGAGTAACAGACAATGGTTGATGCTGAATAAATGAAACTGTGGGAAAGGGAAACTGCAGCTAAGGGGAGCCTACTGCATTCTTTTCCTTTTTATTTCTCCTTTACATCATAGTATATAATACTGAATTTTCCTTCCTTCCTTCTCAGTACTGCAGATCAAATCCAAGGCCTCATACATGCCAGGCAAGCACATTACTACTAAGCTACAACCCACGCCCTTTTGTTAAAATTTTATTTTTGAAATGGTGTTGCGCAGGCTGGCATTAAACTTGTAATCTTCCTGCCTCAACTTCCCAAATAGCTAGAGTCACAGGCATGCCACGCCCAACCCATCTAGCTTTTTAACAAAATATTTCTAATTTTTTCTTCTGTCGTTTTTTACTAAGTAGGTAAAAATTTAATGTTAAATATCAATGTTTATAAGAGAAAACTCATAGCAGATAGCAGAAAATGACATTTACTAAAATTTTTTATATTGGAGAAATATTTAAAAAAGAACAGAATTTAGTCCTTCAGGAAGATATAGTTATCTCTATGTGTTCACTAGTCCCTTGAGAACCTATGCATCTATGGAATTGCCTTCTATTCTGTCAACTATATCCAAAGCAGAGAAATTGCTTTTTTTTTTGGTACCAGGGATCGAACTCGGGACCTTGCGCTTGTGAAGCAACTGCCGGAACCAATGAGCTACATATATCCCTGACCCTGTCGACTATATCTGCCATTCATTCTTTAGTTAAAACATATACCTTTATGTCTGACTACAAGTCAGTCTAAAATGTAGACATAATCACCCTGTATCTCAACTATGAACTAACACTTGAATCTGCATTTCACACATGAAAAAAATTTCAAGCTAGTACAAGTTCAGCCTGATAAATTTCTAAGGTTCAAGACAATGACGGCAGCGAGAAACAGGACTCTTATAGACAACATTGTAACATTCAGATTGTTTCTAATTTCATATAGAATCATGGACAAATCCTTTACATGGTTCCACTTAACTTTTAAAGGACTATCACCACAGAGAAAAGACATTCATGTATCAGGTATATTTTATTAGAATTAGTAACAAATATAAAACCATCAAGATTATGACCACTGTCCAACATTCTCAAATAATGTCAATAGTTATTATAAATAAAACTACTTATTTTGTACACAGTGAAATTTAAAATGCAAGCATCCAAATATTTTGATTATTCAAGTAAAGACATACCTGTATCTGTGAAAGACTGAATATCATAGGTGAGATCAACACTGAGATTTTCAGAATTTTCTGTTTTTTTAAACACTAACCCAATCACCCACATTGTACGAAATTCTTCCCTGCAAAGAAGAGCATCATATTAGGATTCATGAAGATACCATAAGCTACCAATGGGTTGACAACTTAGGCTATGTGGAAAACTCTGTAGTACAAATATATGGTCAAATTAAGTTCTAAGCCCAGACTCAAATCAAAACTCAGTCTTACCCGACACCACTTCCCTATATTTCTTTTACTACATAAGCAATCACACTTCGAGAACAAGAATATTCTCAATTCCTACATAATATTTTTAATGATTCTACAGTACCAAAGGCACTAGAATCAAAGCTGTGAACAGTTTAAAATAATAAAAATATTCTACAATAACAATCTTTTCATTTATATTTTCAACCATTGATGTTCATCTCATACAACTTTATTACTAATACTATTTCTCCAAATGCAAGAAAGTATAAATAAAATCTCAAATTAAATATTAACAGCAACGATAAAACTGGCAGCTGATCTATAGAAGACTCCTAGAAGAAAAAGTAAGCCTATTTTATTCCCATCCCTTTGGAATAGTCCATAATCCATCACAAATTAGATTTTTGCAAGATCAAAGCAAAATATATTCCGAAAAATAAAAGCAGACTGATGTTTGGTACATTAAGTACACTGTACAGAATAGGAGAAAAAGGAATGTTAAGAAATACTAAACCAGAACTACAGCAGATCTGCAGATGCAAACTCTAGTTAACAGCAGCTCACCATTAGAAACTATTATTAGAGAAAAAGAAATTTTATTTCAGCACTAATTTTTTTAAGAAAGACTCCAATTTTTCTGATGAGGAAGAAAACTAAGTTATAAAATTCAAATTTGTTTTGAGCTATATATAATCAACAGAACAGTGCTATGAGTTATATAAACTGCCTGTAAGCTTCTATGAATGAAACTGAAAGAAGGATGGGAAAATGAGATTCATCAGATGTCTGCTTACTTGTCAGGATTTTCTTTGGGTGCTGGAAATGACTGGGGATTCACATGAGCCAATGTAATAAATTCATTCTTCTCCAAGCTTCCAACCAGGATTCGGATTTTTGATTCCACCAAACCCACCCTGAACAAATGTCACTTACTATTAATGAAAGTTTTGGTTGAGTTTACTTAAAAAAAAAAAAAAATCAAAAGCACAAATCAAATGTTTATGTAAAAAATATGAAGATCATACCCAACTTAAAACATAGAGCAAGGCAGTTCAACTGGATGAACTATCCCCCCCCATAAGCCTTGTGCTCTACACCCAAAAAGGCTTAATTGAGGGAAAAAGAGCACTATGGTACACTTCATCCAAATCAGGAAGGTTACAAAAGATATTCTCACAAATATTTAGAGAACTCAGCAAGCTAAAAACAAAGCACTTTAAGAAATGGTATGTAGGCCCTTATACAGCAAAAAATAAAAGATGTATATGGATCCCCTCATTACTAGACTTCCATTAGTAGTAACATTCTATTTATGAAATCAAACCAAACTCCATGTGTTAAGGGCTTCCATCTCCTACTGTGTCTATCTGATTCATTCTGAAGTTAATTTTTTCTGTAAAGTCTAATCTACTACTCACCATTCTAGGCGCTGTTTTTCCGTTGGTGCACTTGCTAGAAGTACAATATAATGCCTTTGAAGATAAAGACAACATGCTATTTATTTTATGTGCTTTATGTTTGCTATCAAAACCATAATGTAGTAAGTTTCATTACAACTATAGATCAACATCAGTTTAGCAAGGCTGCAATCTCAATATGCACATAAAATCACGTAACTAAATTCCATGTTTCTAAATACTATTGAGTTTAATATATCTGGAAAAATCTGACTCTAGGGCCAGGGATTTAGCTCAGTGGTACTGTGCCTGCCTCGCAAGGGCAAGGTCCTGAGTTCAATCCCTGGTACCGCCCAAAAAAAAAAAAAAATCTGACTCTAGAACTGTGAGAAAATGAATTACACTGCTTTAATTTATTTTCTGAAAACAAAAGTGATTTTATGAATAATTACTAAAACAGCAGCTAAAGTCAAGGTTAAATAAACACTAACAGTCAGTTTTGCTCAATGACTCCAGAGGAGAGCTCTATCTTCCGAAGAGCTGCTCACTGAAATACCTATTCAACAAAAATGTTTTAATGGAAACAAAATACCAGGACTTGGTCACCAAAACAAACAAACAAACAAAAATCCCAACAACAAACGCCTCACTAACATCAAATATATCAGGCTTTTAAATTAATATGAAATGGTTGTAAAAATTAAAATGAATGCGAAACCAGGCCCCATGAACTTTTCCAAAGAGGATAAGTTTCTGTGGCAAAACACCACTACTCATAAGATCAACCAAAATACATCTGATTTCTATTCAGAATTCAATCCCATTCAAAACAGAAAATGGTAAATTTTTACTTCAGAAAATAACCACCATGATGAAACATGTTTTTAAGTCATTTAACAACTATTTAACCTGAAGTATATATAATTATATCACCCCACTTTCCTCAGACTAATAAAGTTCAAATAAACCTTTCTACATTATCTTTTTGTTATGGTACCAGGGATTGAACTCAGGACCTTGCTCTTGCGAGGCAGGCATGATGCCACTGAGCTAAATCCCCAGCCCTACACTATCCTTTTAATAAGTTCTGGAAGCTAAATTTCACAGCGGAAGCTTTACCTCAACCAGCAAAATGACTTCATTACCTAGTAGTACAGATACTAGTTAGGAAAGTGACAGAATGACCAAAATTTCTTATTCTCCTAGAAGTCCAAAAGCTTTCTGATGTTTTCTCACATTTTACAAGTACGGTTTCTAGCCAAATACTGGGGCCAGAAAAAAAAAACTACCATGGTTCAAAATATAGTATAGACTAAGGACATTTTAGGAAAAGCTAACAAACTAACAAACAAAAGAATTTTTTAAGCATGGTCCCTTAAAGCAGCCCAGCTGTTCAAATTATGCTCACAACATATTAAAAATCTAGCTCCAAATCTTCATAGTTTTGTAATTCTAGATTAATTCTGAGACTTGTGTACACCATCAAAAAATGGGATAATAGTACCTGTCTTACTGACAAAAGTACTTAAAAGTTCAACTAGCATTAAGCATTTACAAATTAACAGAGGCAAATATACAAATAAAGGTGTATACTAGATAATATAAACTCCCTTGTTGGTCTTCCAGGTCCCCAGAAAAGCTTAAATGAAGAAACAGGGAATTGTTCTGCATGAGTCTTCCCAGCTTTGGCTCTTTGGACTTCCAAATCACCGAGGATTTTGAGTGGGGGCTGGCATGATTAATATGTTTCAAGCAGAAATGTCTTGCAAAAAATGTAGGAGGGGCTAGGAGGGTGTGAACTGGTGAGTCAAACAACTCAGCAAGGGAATAGCTGTAGTCATTCAGCTTTTGTACAAGCAGATAAGAAGAACAGTTATCCCAGTATCCTTTAGGTCTAGTAAAATATAATTCCCATAGTCTTCCATTGCCCAGCACCCCCAATATAGAAACCAGTGTAACTTTTTAAACAATACTTTTCTCTAATGGCACAGATTCATGGAGGAAAAATTATTGTTTGCCTTCTTAATCATTTAGAACAATTGTTCTTATAGTATGAGCTGCTGGCTTTGAGCAGCTTGAGAGGTCTCTGTGGGTGACCTAAGAGGAAGAATTGTGTAAGAGTCTTGCTAAAACCCTGACATCTCACTGCTTTCATTTGTACTGTGAAATGATAATTGACTTCTAAGTGATAATAAAATTTAGAGCAAGAAAAAAAAAGGTATATATATACATACACACACAAACAAAAATGAAACATGCGTGTATACATGTTAAGTATATGTGAAAATGTACAGAAACAAACCAAGTCATGTAAAAGCTCATGCAATGTGTATGAAGAAACCCATACTCACACCCATAAATTGAACCAAAAATCCTTGTTACAATTTCTAACTTCCTGGGCTATTAAATTACCCATGCCCACAGAATCTTACAAAGTTGTCTGGGATTACCTAGCATAAGAACAAACCAATTTCTAAATCATGCTTTACCACACTGTTATACTGAACATTCTTAATCAGCATTGGTCTTCAATAAAAACTTAAATGACACAGGACAGAGGTCTCTATTTACAAAGACAAAATAAACTAATACATTCAAAAACTAAACTCATTTGAACTAAAACAAAATATACAACCTATTGAATATAACTTTGTTGGCAATTCAAAGTTTAAAGCTTTGAAGTCTTTAGAGTTTAACCCTGATCTGTACTGAAATGGGTGCGGGAGTTTCTTCTCTGTACAATGCTTATACACAAATTCATATATTTACATATCGGTAAAAAGTTAAATAATTATTTATGGTGAGATTAAATGTTCTTTACTCAACCACATTTAAGCAAACTTCAATTGACAGTAAGTGCAATAATTTAACTTCAGTAGAATATAAGCTGCAAATATTTTTCATGAATAATTAGAATAAAAGCTCATCCAAAATGTTAAAAGTAAAATCCCAAATTCTTTCTCTGTAAACCTATTTTTTAACTTTTAAGAGCAGAATTAGTATTCAATCCTCAAGGTCTTTACCAGAACAAAAAATAAGTAGAAGTCCCTCTAAACTCTTTTATATTTGTACCAAAATGTGTCTATTTCACAACTGCCATGCATTAACAGTCTTAAATACCCACATAACTTACTTTGAAGTCAACATAATTACAACAACCATTTCCCAAAATGTATTCATTATCCTACAGTTTCCAATAAAAACTATCAAAATGTACCCTACATGGATAAAATCTACTTATAAAAATACTTATGTTTACTTGTTATATATTACCTAATAATTGGTTTTTGTGGAGGTTTTTTATTTTTTATTTTTTGGTACCAGGGATCGAACTTTGGACCTTGCGCTTGCGAGGCAGGCTGTGGCACCACTGAGCTAAAACTCTAGCCCATCTAATAATTGTTATTCTCTAAGTAGATTTCTTGGCTGTTATATCTCAGCACTTTACCTGTATAGATCATAACTCAGATGCTAACACTGAAATTCTTAAAAATCTTTGCAATTTTATCTTCATGTAATTTAGAACTTAACATATAATAAAACATTTTAAATCTTTTTTTTTAATTTTAAGGATAATTTTATATATACTTCATTAAAATTACAAATTAATCTTGCACTTAAGACATTTTGGCTTCACTAATACCTTTCTTCTTTCCTAATGAAATGTAAGGCCTGAAATGACTGTTCATAATTCCTAACATTAATAATCTACCTTATTGCTAGTTACTTAATCATCAAGTTAAACTATGTTAAAGAAGGCTGGTATCTTTTTTTTTGGTACCGGGGATCGAACTCGGGTCCTTGAGCTTGCGAGGCAGGCGGCGGAACCACCGAGCTAAATCCCTGGCCAAGGCTGGTATCTTTTTCTGGAAAACAATTAGTCAGCTTTCTTAGACAAGTTAAATTTTCTCTCTGATTCCCTGTCTTCTAAGAATGGTATGTATATTTCAAATTTAAAATTCTCTATATACCAAATATTTTCAAGATATGCTTCAAAGAATGTTTAGTTAATTTTCAATCAAGGGAAAAGGATTCCTATTCAGGGTATACCCAGTCATTAGGATAGTAAATACAAAGACATTTTAAAAAAATTCAAATCTGTGAATATCCCCTAAAGCCTAATGGTAGTCATCACTGTACCTTAAAGGGGGACATTTCTGGAGAAGAATTAACAATAAACAGAACTAAGTACAGATAAAATTAACATAATGTTATATCTCCAAATATTAGTTTTCCCACATTTTAAACTTAAATTTTTCTACTTCCTATGTTTACATCATTTTTAATAACCTAAAAAGACTTGACCGTTTCACTATAAGCAATAAGGCTGTTTATATGCAACATTTTGTCGAAGAATGTCTAGGTACCATTCAGCAAAGGATAAAGCATAATTTTTAAAACAATGTTTAAAGAAATATTAAGCAGTTTTACATTAAGGACTCAAGCCAGGGATATGTCAGACACCTCTAAGCATCACTGAGGGAGGCAAGAGGATTCCAAATCTGACTCCCATTCTGGATAACTTACTGAGATCCTGTCTTAAAATAAAAAAGGCCTGGGGATGCAGTTCAGTGCAAAGGCCATAGGTTCAATCCCAAGTGTGTCTGTGTTGGGGGGGGCACCACTAAACTTTAAATGTCAATTTATTCAAATGACAATGGGCAGGTTTGTCCAATTTCAATGTTAATCTTTCTCAAAATGAAGGAAGCCACTTATTTAAGCATATACTTTTAAGATTCTCTTACTCATACAAGGAAATTAGAAAAAACAATACAGGTTTTTTTTTTTTTGTACAGGGGATCGAACTCGGGTCCTTCCGCTTGCGAGGCAGGCGGTGGAACCACTGAGCTAAATTCCTGGCAAAACAATCCATTTTTAATTCTCAGATATTAAGACTTCATTTCTTTTAGAGGACCTTTCTTTATCCTTCTTCTTACATGTAATTATGACTTTTAAAGGATTAGTATATATGTTTATGAAACATTCAAAGGTACTCAAATTTTAAAATAAAAATCAAAAAAATATGTCAAATGGAAAGCAGTTTGAGGAATAAGTAACAAGAGCATTCTAAATTATGCTATTTAAATTTTACTGACAACACAGTGCTCCTGGAACACAATTAAGCTGGCTCAATTATTGGGTTTTTCATGCAAAAGATAACAAAAACAAAACACAGAGACACCAAGATGGTCATCATTCTTATTTTTAATTGGGGAAATAGCATAAAGCAATCCTGCTTTGATTATTACAAAACACAATCCAACGTAAAATCAAATGGTCAAGAAAAGTTTCAAGCATTAAAAAATTTTAAATGGGACTTTGGCAAATTCTCAGTCCAGGTCAAATAAAAGTGCAAGTCCGTGTTTTTGTTTTGTTTTGTTCTGAAATAAGATTTATTATAACTTACATTTCTCATCAACACAATTAATGAGGCATTAACTTAAGGCAAGGCATTAACCTATTATATTAAAATCACTAATAAAAATTATACTCATTTAAATCTTAGAAGCTTGCTTGAAATTGTTTGAAGGAGCTTTACACTGGGGGAAAATGGAAGCCAATATGCTATCACTTTTGAAAACACTTAACTAGCTATAATACACTGACATTTTATTAGCTATGTCTGTGTAATCAAGACACTTAAGGATAAACAAGTATCCAGAAGTAGATGAAAATACTTAGCTTAAGAGAAAATCTTAACTACATACAGACCTAAGGTAGAATACTGTATATACTGACAGAACCCTACAGAATTGACATTTCTACAAATGCAGTAGTTCATATAGATTAGGCAGCAAAAGGTAGGGGCCACACATTATTCTGACAAAGAAAAAAATACGGAGTTTACTAACAGTGGTATGTCTTTTGTCAGAAGGAAATTCCAAAACTGCATTAGTCTAGAAAGAACAGATATCATGTGTACTATTATTAAACCATTAGTTAAGAGAGCAACATAGCCGACATGCCTTAAATACATACTTGTACTTTTGAAAGAAGTTTGGAGCTTCAAAAAGTTTGGACCACTCTGCCTTACTCAGCAAAATTTCATCTGTGATAGCAAGACCTAAATTAAAAACATATTAAAATGTTTGCATCCTTCAGTCTAACAAACTAGAATTTTAAGTCATCTTAAATACATCACATGCATTCAGTATAATCCTAAAACTGTAACTTCAAGTGACATTTTAGTTTATAGCTTTAGAGCATATTCTTACATACATTTTTTCAAAAAAGCTGGAAGATTTTTTGAGAGCCAGATTTCTTGTAAATCACCATTACTTAAATGCCAGTCTCTGAGAATGAATTCCTCAAAATTGAAGCACTGTTGTTAAAGACAGACAAGTTTCCCATATACATACTTTGTTTCTAAAAACAAGCTAGCTGCTATTGCTAAAGGATAAAAGCATCTTCCCATGAAGAGCCTCTTTGGACAAAAGGAACAAATATAAAACTTGCATATTTAAGGCTGGTACTCAAAGATGCTTTTTTCTACTCCCTTGCCTATTCTTTTTTTTGGTACTGGGGATCCAACTCAGGTCCTTGCGCTTGCTGGCCAGGCGGTGGAACCACTGAGCTAAATCCCCAGCCCTGCCTACATACTATCAATGAAACAATCCAATTCTGGTTACTTCCCTGAAAGACCAGATGCTAAGAGCTACAGTGGTAAATTTAAAAACAGTAAGTTCAGAACTTACTTCTAGGATAAACGGTGTTTTTCTCTAAACCTGCTCAAAGTTCTTTCCCAAGAATAAAAATCTGCTAAGAATTCCTTGCATCATCCAGTGCAGAGACAATGCTATATACTGCTTATAATTTTGCACAGCAACAGAATAGCACTAAACCAGCCCTTAATGGCCCAGCTAAAAATACGATTTTAACTGTTGGTTAATCTTCCAAGAAATAATCAAAACTAAATTACCTAAAAGAAATTATTCTCAAATATTTACTGTAATCAGTAATGAACACCAAAATCCACTTCAGTGAATGCTTTCTTCAATGAAGTGCACAGCTGATTACTGAGTTTACAATGGTGTAATCCTCAGGTATAAAGGAGATCGTAAGGATAAACACTTACCTTGTTTAAACTCCTCAACCATGACCATCCGTGTTGAAACGGACACATTGTACGTGGAGTTCTGTTGTGGGTATGCTGGTGTAATTATAGGCATAAGATGGTACCTATCACTGGGGTTTACCTATATACAACAACAGCCAATCAGTTTCTTCAAGTACAAGGCAACAGATACTTGGACTTTTTACCCCTTGTTAAACTGAACCCTGATTAAATTTTATCACTCATAGCTGGAGTTGAGAAAGAAATATCATGAAAGAAGAGATTACAGAATCAGAGATTTGGTATAAACTAATGGTTTGTTGTAATCATTTCGGCATGATTATTTTAGCAACCTTACTTGAAAAGCTGTTGTCTTCTAAGCAAAAAGAAAAACCCTAAAAAAAATACTTGGTAATCTACTGGTATTTGTCTTTCTTTATTCAACAACAGAACTTTGTAACTGCTGGCATAATTATAAAGAAATGTAATGCTACCAGTTGTTCTGTGTAAGATGGAAACTAGTTTTTAATATACTCTTATTACAGGGAGTTTAAGCTTATTAACACACACACTAAAACTATTTTGTCCACACTGACAGCATTTTAAAAGGTAGCTGTTAATCTGTACTGGCATTAAGTAGCATACCCCACAAAGGGAACTGTGAACTCACATCCTCCAAAATTAAATGCCTTAAAGTTTGGAAAACTTTGGGCCAGGGATTTAGCTCAGTGGTTCCCAAGTTTGATCCCCAGTACCAAAAAAAAAAAAAAAAAAAAAAGTTTGGAAAACTTGGAAATACATAGCTTGGTGTAATTCAATAGAACTTAGAAGTTTTTGATACTGTAGAAAGATAGCAAATTAATTTAGAAAAATGGAACTCCATAAACCTTATTCTAACCCAAATTTCTTTTCTCAACTAATAAAGCTGGGCATGGTAGCACATGTCCATAATCCTAGCACTCCGGAGGCTGAGGCAGGAGAATCACTGAGTTCAAGGCCAGGATGGGCTTCCACAGTGAGTTCAAGGCCAGACTGAACCAGAGCGAGACACTGTCTCCAGAAAAAAAGAAAAAACAATAAAACCCCAAACCTAATAAAATTCATGTTAACATTTAAAATGTGCAAGCAGAGAATGTTTTAACTTCCCAAGAAACAAAACAGAAGCACTTCTGTAACCCTTGTTTTTTTACTCTAAAGTATCTAAACCAAGTTTCACAACTATACATGGTAATTAGAATGATACTGCTTAGACATTACCTACTATGTGTAAAACATTAAGCAACAGCTTTCCTACAACAACCAAATTTTAACAAAATACTTAGATCAAATGAAAAAATACAGGGATTTTTAGTATCCTTTTATTTTTTTTAAAGCACAAACGCCCACACAACTTTGATTTACAAGGTAGTTCTATATAGATTTAAAATGTTAGTAAAATTTGTATTAAAAACTATGTACAATTAAATGTGGTTCACAGGGTACATCATTACGCTTCTCACATCAGAGGACAATTATAGATGAGGTTATCTAAAAGAAAGTGTAATGCAGATATGTCCACTCCTACTTTGTAAATAGCTGGGAAGTCTCTCGAGTTTATGCAGATGACTTTACTTGTTATTGCACAATGTGAATTCGTAGGGGAAAAAATAATACACTAACCCTTGGGTCCCATACAGGCAAATTAAGATTGCATTCTTCAGGCTGTTTCAATAGCACTGGATTTGGCCATTCCCTGTTTAAAAAGATTGTAGCACTCGATAAGACTATTGGACATTATCATCTACAAGTATTTCGTTAAACATACAGCATTTGTGAACGTGATCCTTCTTCATTCATTTTGGTATATAATACCCTTTTATTTTTCTTTGTTGTTGTTAGACTATTTTTCCTCTGTGAAATTAGACCATTTGGTAGTTCTCTCAAAATGAAGTCAAACATCTCTGCCTCTCAAAGGATCTAATAAAAGAGTATGTGTTCACCTCCATCTTGCACAGGATAAGTCTCTTTCTTTTTTTTTTTTAGGATAAGTCTCTTTCAAAGACAAAAATCCTGTACTAGTTTCATGCAAAGAAAAATGAGCATAAAAATTACTTCTGATTATAGTCAAAAGGATATGAATAATTATAAAAGTTAAACAGGAAAATTGTTCTATTTCACAACTTAAAGGCGGTAGTACAGCTAAGTGTAGTTAAGAAGCAATCTATGAATTAGCTACTTCATTCAGTCTTTTAAGAGAAAAAATGGAAACATCTATTAACCTTAATATCAAGGTTAGCTTCCTAAAAACACTTGATATAGGGGTAGCCTTCAGAGAACATGATGCTCTATAATCTGATAACACCTTAGCATATGATGAAAATGTGCTATCAAGTTGCAAAGCAGCAGGATGGGTATCAGAAAGTGTGGCAGAGTTCTAAATTTTAAGTGGTCTCTAATTTTTATAAAATTACTAGAATAATTTTTTGTAGGCACAGGAAGGATATGAACAGGCAGGAATCAAGACGACATACTTAAATCTCTAAGATAAATGTTATTAAAAATCAAGAATCCGCACTTTGAGGGGCAAAGCAACTACTATGAAATGGCAATGATCTTACTTTTCTGAAAGAAATCATGGTTGACAAATGTAGACATCCTGTAGACAGCTTGAGATAAGGTACACAAAAAGTCTCCTGGGTAGTGAATAATCTGTCAAGCAACTCTATTTTTTTCAAGTACAGTGGACCCTCAAGTTACAACCAGCCTGGCATCCAAACAACTTGGGTAATTTGATGGAAGATACATCTGCCTCTTGTTATCTATAGCATGTACCCAGGTAAACATCCAGATCTCAGCTGTATTGACTTACAACCAACTTGAGTTACAACCAGCACTTGGGAACCAACTGAGTTCCAAGGGTCCACTGTACTTTACATTAACTTACTCTTTAAAAGCGTTTTATAAAACTGACATCGTTAATATTTTATCAAAGATAAATGAATTGCTGAAAGTCAAAAAACAATCACAAAAATATTAATGGCCTTTGGCTTTAAAAGTATTTGAGAAGTGAAAGAGGTGATGTGTGTTAAATTTATCCAGAAGTAATACCTCAACCTATTAATAAATTAATTGGACTTCAGCTAAACATTTCAACTAAAACTCAGGAGTTTATATGAAGGGCAGGATTATGCAAGTAAGTATGAACAGAATCTGCTTTACTATCCTGAAAGCTTGGGAATAGAGTTCAGGTTTGCCATCCTATATAAAATGTGATCTCCCAGACCTACCTAAATGGCTAATTCATGAACTACAATTTGAATCTGAAACCAGCTGCAGAAATGTCAGAAATAAGACTAAACTTCAGTGTCTACAATCAATTTTATTTTAATATAATCTAAACACATACCATTTAGAAAATACCAAGAAAAATTTATGTACAAGAGTTGATGCTATTGCATTTGGATAAAGCTGGCAAGTTCTTGCTACTAGCATAGCCCAGGAAACACCACCGAGGAAACCTAATATATTGGAATAGATGTTGTGGCCTGTTGATAAGGGAAAAGCAAAAAGATAAGTTAGTGTTGAATAAAAATTTAAACATTTTTATTATTAAGCTAGCCAACAAATTCTGAACTCACGTTTGGCCCACAGTTTGATAGCTCTCAGAGTTAACCTGAAGTTGTCAATGTTTGGTACTAGATGTAAAATTTCATCGGTTACCCTGCAACCTGATTAATAGGAGTGAAAAAACAGAAAATTACATCATCAAAGTTTAATGATAATATACCTTCCAAATTTTCTGAGACTGATGTCAAATTAAACAACGCTTATTTGATAGAAATGGTAATGTTCAAAAGAAAAAAATACTAAATCTAAAAGCATTTATCTCCTACCACAAGCAGAGGCCTAAAACAAAGAAAATGGAACTGTAATCTGCTTCATCTCAAACTTGCACAAAATGAAAACTTTCTGCTGGGCACGGTGGCACACATCTGCAGCCCCAGCAACAAGTTCGAGGCCAACCTGGACAACTTAAGAGAGATCCTGTCTTAAAATAAAAATGAACGGGGATGTAGGTTAGTGGTGGGGTTCAATCCCCAGCACAACAAAATGTTTTCTTGTCCAGATATACTGAGAAGGATCCAATACATTTAAGATTCCAAGAACTGTTGTCCAAAAGAATGGTAAAAAGCTATGCTAATATAAAATGGTTCAAAAACAGCCCTTCTAAAACTTCACAATTGAGAGCATTACAAAGGGGTATTGGGATTAAGATTAATTATGTCAGTCTTTTTAAGCACCCAGGGACCATTAATAACAGGGTGAAAACAGCAGTAATGCATAAAATAAACCATGAGCCACTTCTCTATAGTCTACTGGAGTACATTTCATATGACTCACTATGGATTTAGAAAATGGCTATAAAAAGCATCATGCAAAAACAGAGCTAAAAACAACTACTTAATATTTGATAAGAACTCCAATTATGCAAAAGGAAGTAGGCTTTTTTACATACCATTAAGACTTCTTATGCATCTTATATCTAAATTTTTAAGCAGACTGTCATCTCGTAGGTCCAAATCTTCGGGGATAGTCTGCAGTGCTAGTCTTGCAAATAAAATATCAATCTAAAACAAAAACAAAACTTGAAATTCTTTATCTGTCATTTTTAAGGCATTTCTTTTTTAAAAAGTCTGCTTAAACCCAGGACCTTCTCAATGATTATGAACATGACAACATCCTTCCAAGTCCACAGTATATTAATTCTTATCACAGGGTTTTTAATCAGATGTTGAACCATGCTAATATGAACCGGAACTTCTCTGTGTACCTACTTCTTATTTTAATCATAATCAAAGGGGCTAAATGCATACTTAAAATTAGCTTTTTGGGTCATTATTTTTAAGTTGTAAGATAACTGCAAAATAAAGAATGCCAAAATATAAGGAAGACACCTTTATATTCAGCTCAAAAATACCTTTCAATAAAAAAGGAGCTCCTCCCCCTAGGTTTGAAAACACTTATCTCAATATTCAAAAAAAAAAAAAAGAGCTCCTTATATATGAAAACTAACATGTCTATATTACAGTACAGCTTCCAATTTAATTCCGAATAGAAAGAAAACAAAAGCAAAACATTAAAAGCAGAGAAAAGTCCAGAATAATCAACTTTTTCTTTTTTTTGAGACAGGGTCTTGCTATGGAGCCCAAGCTAGCCTTGAACTCACAATGCTCCTTCTTACTGTCCCTGAATGCTAGAATTATAGGCATACCTCAACATGCCAAGCAACAACTAGAGTTCAGTCTAATGTTGAAAGCTTAGAAAATTCAACCAACAAAAATTTTTTTCTTTTCATGAAAGATGAAAAAACAAAGAAACACCACAGATCCGGTAAGTATTCCTAAGGTTAGGATTTTCCAAAACACTAAATGTTTTTATAAACAAGCCTTTTATCAGATCAGTTTTAAAGGCAGTTATTTTAAAGAGCTTATTGTGAAAAAAACATTTAAACATATACCTATGATACGGAAGAAAAATATTATACTGTTACACAAATTAAGTATAGTATTTGCGAAGTATAAATTTCATAATGAAACAGATTTCTAATTCAGTATCTCCCCCAATTAACAAAGAAATACTTTACGCTCATAAAATCAAGTTAACTCAAAAGCAAATCAGACATGATACTGATAAGTTATGATAAAATTATGCCACAAAAAGCTGACATGCAAAAACACAAAGACACTTCCTAAAGTAGCAGTATTTTACACAGAAGGTACCACAGAAAACGAAAACGAACAGTTCAAGACATCAGTGGATTCTTGCCTCCACCACACAAAGTTTAAAAAGTTGATTTGGGTCTCCAACAGAAAATTCCTTTTTGTAATTTTCTTTTTTGGAAAGAAAAAAAATGGGACATCACTGTATAATTTACATTAGATTGTTTTTTATTTTGTGACAAGGTTTCTTTCTCTGTGTTGCCCAAGTCCACCTTTAAGTTGCTATACAGCTCAGGATAGCCTCCTACTCATGATCCTCCTTCCTGTCAAGTGCTGAGATTACAGACATGTGCCAACACGCCTGCCTCTACAAATTGCTTTCTATTTATTTAAACATCAACAGTAAATCATAACTAAATGAACTTAATAATCCTTTACGAATTTCACATTTTATATGCACTTGCTGAGGCTAATACTTGACTTTTCACAGATGGTAGCTGGCCTTCTTATGTACCAATTCTAGAAACTATCTTGGGGGGACACAAAAGAGCCTTCCACTGTCTAAACTTTGATTATCTTTACCATTATTATAAGAACTTTCCAGCACCATTATGTTCAAGAGATAGAGCACAAAAATAAAGTTGTTTCACCATCAGCTTGTTCTCCTTTCTTTCACTATATGTGTTGAAAACTCAACAATTTGAGCTCTACTCTAAATCCTCTATCACTGTGGTGGTGAACCTATGGCACATGTGCCACAGCAGGCTGTCTGTATCACTGCTCTGTCAGAAAATACTTTAATACATATAATAATTCATATTTTTCTTTCAGTTTTTTAATATTTAACTTTAGTCAAGTTAAGGCACAGTGGATTTTGCACATGGAAATATTATTTGGCAGTAGCACTTCAGTCTTACGGTTTCATTACTTCTACCTATGTTTCAGCTTCTAATTTCACTTGGCATTTAAGAAAACTAAACATGTTACGTACTATGAAGAATAAGCAATCACTTGCATTTAAAAAAACCTTGTTATTAACACCAATCAGCTCTAATTCTGATTTTACAATAAACCCAATTTTTACCTACACTAATCAAACTTAGTAACATCTCACAGAAAGAACTGTTCATTTGAATCACACCTTACCTCTATCCCATCAAAACAGAGTTTGATGACTGGTACAAATGCCTCTTCAACAGCCTTTAAGAAAAGTGAACAAGTTCAGTTTGTGAAACTGCACACACGAGGCCTATATTACTTTTAACTACTTAAAACTATGATTCCTCAAGTTTTTAAATATAATCTAGCATAATGTGCGATACAAAATAAGTTCTCAACAAAAAGCTTTTGCCTTCATGCCCCAGGTTCCACTCCTGGACCTTTGACATTCAGCACATTTGGAGTTGTAGGCAAAGTACAGTAGACCCTTGACTTAAGAACTTGATGAGCTCCCGAGGGCTGGTTGGAACTCAAGGTGATTGAAAGGCAATACAGCTGAGATCTGGATGTTTACCTGAGTAGACATTATAGATAACAAGAGGCAGATGAATCTTCTATTAATCTAATTAACCTAAGCTGTTCATAGTCAGGCCAGTTGTATCTTGAGGGTCCACTGTACTTAGCATTGATTATGTTTGCCTCTATTTCCTAATCTATAAAAACTTTGCAGATTTATGACTTTAGGCTTACTGTAAATAATACAATGCAAACACACATTAAGTGCCTTGAATGGCCTGGCAAACTGCAACACCTCAATAAGTGATGGTTACTATCATAAAATTCACTCAACTAAGTAAATTTTTATAACTCCTCCCCTCTCACCCCATTTACATACTCTTAAATCTTTTACTTCTTCCTGTAATTTCAATTTATCATAGAATGAGGTGAAAAAGTCACTTCGATCAACGTGTCTCGGTGCAACACATAATGCATCAATATCGGCACCTAAAAAATAATCCCATCAAACACTAATTAGTACTACAGGAAAATTATTTTACATTTTATGGCAATATTTGATGTTAAGAATCTGTGAAACATACTGGGAAGCTCTTAAAAATGCATGAACTCTTAATAAAAATTACCAGTCAGTAGAGCTGACAAACATGGTTCTAATGGATGGGACATGTTTTTTCCTGACACATCCTATATTTGTAGTGACCCCAAGTAAACCCTGAGTCCAAAGAAAGTTGATTTAGAACTTGCATGATGAAGAGGAATGGAGACATGTTAGTTAAACAAAGAAAATTGATTTTTCTCTGAACACTAAGTGATTGGTGTTTATTTGCTGTTGTACCAAAAAGGAGTAACTGGGATCTTAAAAGGGAGAGACTAATGTAGAATCAGATCAACCTCATCATTTTTCTAAAATATGAGATGTTGAAATGCTGGGGATATAGCTCAGTGGTAAAGAGCTTGTTTAATATATTATGAAAAATTTTTTTTAATTTTTAAAAAGGGAAAAATGAGGTGTTGAGAAAGCACTCTAAAGACTAGTATATTTACAGAAGGTGGGAAAGTTTTATCTATCTATTTACCTCCCTATATGAATAACAACACATCAAAAACAAATGTCCTACTACTGGGACAGAATAACAGAAGACAGGGCGGGGGAGGCGAGGACCCACTTTCAGGTCCCCTTTCTGTCTCTCTTAGGCAGAAGCTCTCTTTCTCTCAATAAACTCTTCCTACTCTTTAAAAAAAACAAAATAAAACAACAAAAAAAACCCCTAGAAGATGGGACAGGAAAGGATAGCAGAACACAAGAGAACACTACACTGACACATTTTTAAAAAACAAAGCTCAGACATTAATGATTGGAAAGCACAACCTTATACCGTCTGAGTTCCATCTACTGGTTCTGGGAACAGAGGGCAAAGAGAACCTTTGCCTCTGTAAGTATCAGACTGCTATTTGTTATGTGAGAATAAAGGTACTGGTGGGGATAAACAAAATAATGAAAATTAAGAATTTAGCTCAGTGTCCACCTTAACAGTTTAATAAATGTTTGTCATGAAAACTTTATTTTTTGTATAAAGAAAATAACTATAAAATTTATGAAATAAAACAGTGATTAACAATGGGCACAGATATACACTGATTTGTCTTTTACTAAGCTATATTTTACAATTTGTCTATAATAAATGTATGAGTAAAAGAAAATCCACCAGGTTTTCTTTAAACCTTTCATTCATTTTGTGACATCCTTCAAGCAAGAGGAAATGACTCATGAAGAACAGCATGGTCCAAAAGAACTTTGCAATAGAAAATGTTCTACACATCTGCAATTTCCAACACAGTAGCTATCAGCCAGTGTGGCTGGTGAACAGATAAAGTGTGGCTAACTTCTGGGAACTGAATTTTTCTTAATTTTAGTACTGCAATGAATACTATATGGAAGAAGACATCATTTTGTATCTCCTTAGACTCCCCTTCAAGTATTTGCTCTTCCATGCAAAGTTTGTGTATAATTCATGAGTAATGAAAATGAACAGGTCATTATAATCCTTAAATTAAAAATGCATTCCTTCAGGAGAAACAAATTATGTACCTTTTGTATGTACTCCTAATCTGTAAGATCCAAATGTAAAAATTTTTCCTCCGACATTTTCAATTACAGACTGAGGAAGATTCTGTTAAAACAAACCAAATAAAATGTCAGTGGAACACAAGGAAAACTTTTAAATGATACTGTACTTTTTTTTTTTGTACCGGGGATTGAACTCGGAACTTTGCGCTTGCAAGGCAGGCAGCAGAACCACTGAGCTAAATCCCCGGCCCAATGATACTGTACTTTTAAAAATCTTTAATCCTTTTCTCTTTCTGGTTTTTCTGAGACACTACTAAGGATGTCTTTTAACTCACTATGTAACTGGCCTCAAACTAGTGACCTTCCTGCTCAGCCTCCTGAGTGCTAGGATCACAGGTGTGCACCACCACACCTGGCTCATATCATACTTCTAAAAAAACCAAATCAAGTCAGGCAAGGTGGTCCACACCTGCAATCCCAGCTACTTGGAAGTGGAAAGAGGATCACTCAAGCCCAACGGCTCAAGGTCAGCCTGGGAAACACAGCAAGACGATCTCAAACCAAAAAGCCCAAATTAAGGTGACGATGCAAACTTTTATAGAGCATATTCAAGCATATGATCTCACCAAAAACACAAAAGTCCTTTCAATCTAATTTGAAATTCAAGCAATTTCCAATTTCTAATAATGTTCTTTGATGAAGACACACTATTTTAAAATTTGAAACATTTCTGGAAACTGCTATATAATCAAATGGAGGAGATCAAGTGATCCCACAAAAGCAATGTTAAAATCAGGGCTTTTGTTCATGACAAATATCCTACATAAAATAAATCATGAGTATTAGACTCTAAAAAAAAAAAAAGATATTCTGAACACTTAAAAGTATTCAATGATAATAAATACCCCATAGCATATTAGAGTATAACTTTCCTATATCAAAAGTGACTTCAGGGCTAGGGATTCAGCTCAGTGGTTCCGCCACCTGCCTCGCAAGTGCAAGGACTCGAGTTCGATCCCAGGTACCTCCTGCCCCCAAAAGTGACTTCAGTTGGGCATGGTGGTGCATGCCTGTAATCCCACCACTCAGGAGGCTGAGGCAGGAGGATTGTCTTGAGTTCAAGGCCACCCTGGGCTGCAAAATGAGTTCAAGGCCAGGCTTAACTATAATAGTGAGACTGTGTCTCATACACACACACAAAAAGTGACCTCAAACTCAATCAATATTGCTACAGATTTCCAAAACACTTTGGTGGAAAGATTTTAAAAAGAACTAGACTTATTGTGGTTTTTTTCCTAAGAAGCACCAGGAAGAAGGGGCCAGGGATGTAGCTCTGTGGTCCCATGCCTGCCTGGCAAGCACAAAGTCTTGAGTTCGATTCCTGGTACGGGGGCTGGCAGGGCGGAGCATCAGGAAGAGAAAAAGCAAAGCATTCAAAAACTGTCTTCCTGCCAGGTATAGTGGTGCATACCTGTAATCCCATCACTTTGGAGGCTGAGTAGGAGCACTGCTGTGAGCTTGAGGCCAGCCTTGTCTACATAGTGAGTTTAAGGCCAGCCTGAACTATATAGCAAGGCTCTGTCTCAAAAAAACAAAACAAGTCTTCCTAGCTCTGGCATGACAGTAAAAGTACTATACTACTGTTATGTTCAACGGCCCTGGCTCGTGTCTGTCCCAACACAAAACAATATAATCAGTGGCAAGTGTCCTTTCACCTTCCAATTCCTTAGTAAAGCATTTGGTACCAGAACATGCACATCCATCCCCTACTCCAAAAAAATAAAACTTAAATGGTAATGATCAAGTGTTATTTCTTTCGTATTCAAAAAAACTTTCTAAAAATGTCTAAAGATTCAAGAAGGGCAACATTCATTCTAGTTTATAAAATAAACTGTTGTTTAACTCCAAAATTGAAAACAAAACCAATCAATGTCTTTAAACTTAAAAAATTCAGGGACTCTTGTATTTCAAGGGGATGTTTATAACCTTCATCACAGAAAACAAAGCATATGAAAACTGTTAACATTTTTAAGAAGCAAGGCCTCTGCTTTCTTATATTGAGATATTTAGTACTAGTTGCAATGCTGGCCTGGTTATTGAAAATAAGACAGCAAACTATGTTACAATTAGATCCAAAAAAGAAGTTAGAAACTACCTTACAATAATGAACTGGTGACCCTGGCAATTAAAACACATACATTTCAAGAACAAACACTCTGCAAAACTTTTTGGAAGGCTATAAACATTCTATACCTGCAATATTCATTATAGTAGCCATTATATTCATCGCTAGTGCCCATCTGAAATGTGGCTAGTGCGAATTAACATGTTCTCACTGACTCACACCACTGGTGCCACATGCACGATTGGTAATAAGATGGCTTATACCACTGGTGGTACAAACAAATGTAATCTCTTTTATTGGTCTTTTTACTGATAAAAGTTAATAAAAAGGCACCTGATGAGACAGACACACATGTACCACCTACTGGTGGTTCAAGATATGTGGCAGTGAAGCACACAAATTACAGTCCCTTCCTGAACATGTTAAAAACCGAAATGTTTCTTTCGTTTTTGTTTTTTTTTTGGTAACCGGGGATCGAACTTGGGTCCTAGCGCTTGCGAAGCAGGCAGCAGAACCACTGAGCTAAAAATCCCTGACCCCTAAATGTTTCATTTTAATCCTAACTTAAATAGTCACATGTAGACTAGACACTACTGTAGTACACATCTAGATACTCCTATATTTATTCTATTATGGTCACTCTAATCAGAAAATAAGATTTCTTAGTTCAGGCTGTGGGACAAAAATTTGGGGGGGGGGCCAGAGTCTCACTACGTAGGTTAAGGGAACCTTTAATTCACTATATAGCCCTGGGCTGATCTCATACTTGAGACTCTCCTGACTCAGCCTACCAAGTGCTGGACTTGGAGCCATGTGACATCACACATAGCCAATAAAAAATATTTGATCGTAAAATTTTTGCTTAAAGACCTAAGAGTATTAAAAGTGTTAGATGGCAAACAAGCCAGGCATCTATTTGTTAGTTTTTTCTTGTTTTTGTGTGATTTTGTCTTTTGAGATGGGGGTCTCCCTAGGCTGCCCAGGATAGGCTTGAACTTATGGTCCTAACTGCTCAGCCTCTCAGGAAGCTGAGATTACAGGTGTGTCCAAACATGCCCAAATCAAGCCACTCATCTTAATGTCAAACTCAAACTTCATAGAATCTTCCAACTATGTATTAAATCAGAAGTTCTCATCCAAAGATAGGTCTTCCCCCTAGTACCACCTGACTAGAGAAATTTTGGGTTATCACAACTAGGGGACGCGTACCTAAGAAAGCAGAGGACATGCTGCTTAGTATCCTACAACATACACAACAGGCACCCAAAAAAGAATGATCTGGTCCAAATGTATTAACAGTACCAACATCGAGAAATTCTGTTAACGAATTTTAAAAACTAACCAGCTGGGGAAAACATTCTCTCTACAAAAGGCAGAAATAAAGGATCAACCCTTATAAGGATAAGTGGTTTACCACATTTTCAAATCATCTTGCTAGCTATAAATCTGAGCTGTCAAAAGGTCACAGACAAACTGGAAAAGAGCATTAATTTTATTACCTTCAGGAAAACCAGTGGAAAGAACTACTGTGTATCAGGAATTTCTGGCTCAGAGGCAGGCATGGTGGTGTATGCCCATAATCCCAGCACTCAGGAGGCTGAGGCAGGAGGATCTTCATTGAGTTCAAGTCCAGCCTGGGCGGCCTAGTGAGTTCAAGGCCAGCATGAACTACATAAAGAAACCCTGTCTCAAAAAAAACCTAAAAAAATTACTGGTTCAAGTACCCAAGGAAAAAAAAATTCAAAAAGACAATGTTTTGTCTTCTCAAAAAAAAGAAAAACAGTAAGTTCTGGCTGTCTACTTGACTAAGATTTTTAAACTTCAACATCTAAGAAAAGGCCCTTAAAGAAAAATCTTTGTTTCCTATTATCCTCTAGCTAACTGGGAGGCTGAGGCAGGAAGATTATAAACTCAAGGCCAGGCTGAGCAACTGAATGAGGTTCTCCCTCAAAATTTACAAAGGGCTGGGAAGATCATGCCCAGTCTGGGTAACTTAGTGAGACCACGTCACAAGATAATATTTATAAAACAAGACAAAAAAACCTTAGGCTTAAACATCACTTACTCAGCTTAAAAATATTCCTTTCCAAATACTTCATTTTCTCAGAAACTCCATTAATGAGAAATGCACTACATAAAAAAATCACCATTCACAATACTCTAGTCATGACTGACCCAAGTGAGTCCTTCACAAAGAGGACAAAAGCAAACAGGCCACTTTCAGCAAACGACAGGCTATTTCTCAGTAAACTGAAGACATCTCCCCAGCACAGGAGAAGTCCAGTGATTGTCTACACACCTGTGCTGACTGTCCTTGGACTCGATCATAAACATTTCACCCCAGATTCCTTAGCCCCTTCAATACCTACGTAAGCCTAATTCCTTTCCCAGTCAGCTGCTGATATCTCTCTCCTAGTGTTAGCCCAGCCACTGACAGATGAAGCCTCTCCCAGCTAGCTGCTGCTGTCTCACTCCCAATGTCAGCCCCTCCACACACGGATGTAACAAACTAGGCTTTTCCCAGCTAGCAGCCAGAAGATCTCTGATTTTAGTTCCTATTCACTGGAATAAACTTTTTTTCCCTCACAACAAAAAGGCCCGTTTAAACGAGTGGATTCATATGTGCCATCTATTACACCAGGTGCTAAAGCTAATCAGTTGTTCAAATTAAATATAAGTTGCTTTAAGAAAACAGGGGCCGGGGATTTAGCTCAGTGGTACTGCACCTCTCTTGCAAGCAGAAGGTCCCGAGTTTGATCCCCGGTACCACAAAAAAACAAAACAAACAAACAAAAGAAAAACAGTATGGAAGAATTAACATAGATCCCCCCCCAACCCAAAGGAAACACCATTACAAATTTCACCAAACACAAGTCTTTAACTTTTCTCCTAAATTAATACCCTTTCTCCCTATTAGATTTTCTTCTATCCTTGGTTCTTCTATCAACTTTTCAGCTACATTTATAGAATATGCATTTTCTACAACCCTAGAAAAATTACCACTTTTTACAATATTTTTAAAAGCGAGTCAAATCAGTTCTGCAGGGTTCTAAAAATGCATTTCCTAGCCAGGTGTACTGGTGCACACCTGTAATCCCAGCACTCAGGAGGCTGGGGCAGGAGGATCACTGCAAGTTCGAGGCCAGCCAGAACTATGTAGTAAGAGCCTGTCTCAAAAAAACCCCCCAAAACCCAAACCCAAACCAAAAACATTTCCTTTCCTAGGATTCCCCAGTTGTGTGTAGTATTCACAGTAACTCAGAAACCCAGAGAATGCTGCTACCAAAAGACTAAACAATGATACTGCTTTAGACAGCTAAGCTAACTAGGAAATATTACAAGAGAATTGGACAGGGCCGGGCCCTCAGCAATAAAGACAACTGTGGCCCAAGGCTCATTCACCAAGGCCAGGATTCAAAAAGAACTACACCCACGTACTTGGCATTCTAAACAGGCATCAACCACCTTGAGTGGGGACCAAAACCTCCCTAGCCCATTTCTTCTGGGAACTTCTTGTGTGGCCCAGGTTCAATTAGCTTCCCCATTCAATCCCCATTTAATCAGTACTACCAAAGTGACTATACTTATTGGTTGGTCACAGTTTTGTCCCACCTTGTACCGGGGCTCACCTCGTGGCTTTCTTCAATAAAACACCTTAGAGAAGTGGGGTGGGCAGGCAGCCACTTTCCAGTCTCCCTTCTGTCTCTCTTGGACAGAAGCTATCTTTCTCTCAATAAATTCTTCCTACTCTTAAAGTCCACTGTTCCTAGATTTCATTCTTTGATTTCAGAGAATATGAACTCAATGTATCAAGATATCTAGCAGGTTGAGTTATAAGATATCCCTCTTATATTATTTGAATTATGTGGAGGTCCAATATCATCTGCGGATCGTGCACCCTATATCAACAGTCTGATAATTCAGTGTCGAAAACATTTTTTAAAAATTAGCTCATTGTTTTAGAATTCCTTAAAAGACAAGACTCTGAATGCTAGGAATCCCCCCCTTTCAGGAAAACGTCTACTGCTTCTCTAAACAGTGTGAGTAGTTTAGTTACTGAGTTTAGCTTTGAAATGTTGCAATCGAAGAATACTTACAAAAATCACTAATCTCAGTTGATTATTTGCTTTTAAAATAACTAGAAACAAAATATAAATTGCTATCAGTCTAATACGAACACAACTTTAAAGACTTTAAATTCACTCAAATATCACAATTGCTGTGTTCCATTAACTATCTACAACAAATTATTTTGTATACAAAATGTCACCTTACCTTGCTTTCACTGATTTCTCGTATCCACTCTTTCACCAGGTTATTTAATTTTCCCAAAATTAAAATCCTGTTGATAAAATAATTATCAAGTATCAAGTTGTTTTTCCAAATCACTACTGGTTAAACAAAACAGTCTTAAATAGGTACTTTCCTAAATTTTACATTTAAGTAATCAGCAATGTTCAGTAGTTAGTTATATACAGGCAATGTTTCACTGGGAAAGACATTGTCCTTTCTCCGAACTACTCTACACTGAATTTATTCAAAGCACCAAAATATCAAAATTAAGGGAAGAGAACTCTATTTAGAAAATATTAAAAAGTTAGCTTTCCTAAGCAGCACTCTTTTTTTTTTTTTTTTTTTGGTAACAGGGATCGAACTCGGGTCCTTGAGCTTGTGAGGCAGGCCGAGGAACCACTGAGCTAAATCCCCGGTCCTAAGCAGCACTCTTGTACAAAACAGACACAGATTTGCGAGAGCAACACTGACATTCTAAGGGAGTACAGAAATGGGTCAAAATTAATTTCAATACTAATAAAATAATATACATTAACCTACAGACATACACAGCCCATTTACCTGCGCTGCAGTTCTTCTTCCTCTTCAAAAACCCCGAAGGGCTTCAGAGTCTCGATGAGTTTCTGCGTCAGCACCCAGTCGGTCTCCTTGGGGGCTGCTAAGCTGATAGGAGAGGTGATGCCATAGTGCTTCGGCGGCAGCTGCGTCTGTTGTGATCCCTGTGTTGTAACTGGACTAAAAATGGAACTGGGTTAAATTATTGCAAAAATTCTACAATTTACAAATCAACATGATTTTAAAAAAACGACATCAGTAAAATACATTTCTAAACATAGTTCTTCCATGCTGTATCACAAAAATTTTGCTTTCAAGAAACATTTTGTCATACTAAAAAAGATAACCAAAAGCAGGTAACCAGTAAGAAATTATTTCTCCTTTTCCTCCCAGGATTTTAACTTTGCCACCACCTAAATGCCTCACTAAGCTGTAAAAATACACAGCAAATATACTCCTAGAGAAAACAACACAGAAAAATCTTTTGAGAAATGTTTCCCATTGAAGCAGTGAAAATCACATTGTTAGCTCTAAAGCATTGATAAACATACTTAAAAAATGCTGTTTTTGCTGACTACAGAGGCGCCCATCATTTTTGCTAATTTTCCATCTACCAGACCTTGTCACCTGACCATACCAGATATAAGGCAATCTACAAAATCAATTTCATTTTGGACATGTGCTTCCAGGTTAGAACTATGCTACTGAAAATACGAATAGACACTGACGATCACTCAGCTACCCTCCCACCCTTTCACATTATGATCGTTAGCCCTGATGTGTCAGTTTCACTGGAGTAAGAAAACGTCTGGTGGATTCAAAGAACACACACCTGGGTGTGTCTGAGTGGGTCACGAGGGTCACGAGGGTCAGCCTTGGGTACTACATGTATTTCCAAGGCCCTTCCTCTTCAGTGGTGTTCCCCTGCTCTGCTCCTTGGCTGCCATGAACTAAACAGCTTTCTATGCCAGACCTTTCCACTATGATGTTTCTGCCTTGGAGCCCCCTGACTATGGATGAATCTGCTCATAAAAAACAACTATTTTACCAACATAAGAAATTACCCAGGGGCCGGGGATTTAGTTCAGTGGTTCCGCTGCCTTGCAAGCACAAGGTCCCGTTCGATCCCCCGTACCAAAAAAGAAAGAAAGAAATTACCCAAATGGAACCTATTATGTGACTCAATGAATAAAGCTCACAAATAACACAGGGCGGGGATATTAATTCAGCTGGAGAATACATGCCCTGAGGTCAATCCCTAGCACTGTTAAAAAAAAAAGAGAGAGAGAGAAAAGCCAGGCCTCGTGGTACAGGCCTATAATCCCAGCACTTAGGAGGCTAAGGCAGGAGGATCACAAAGCCACCCTGGGCTAAGAAGCCAGAACAACCAAAAAAACCAAACAAAGCAAGGGACCTCATCTGAAATTTTAAGCCAAGCATGGTGGCACACACCTGTAATCCTTGCACTCCAGAGGCTGAGGCAAGAGGATCGCCAGCCTCAGCTATACAGTGAGTTCAAGGCCAGATGGAACTATCTCTGTTTCAAAAAAAACCAAAAAAAGGGAGAGTGGGTGCAAACAAACAGCACGCACAAATATAACTAGGAGGAAAGAACTATAGGCACAAAGAAATTTACCTCTCAATAAATCTAAGAATGCTGCATAGTAATTCCCATGACACATGTACGGTACATACCCTCTGGGCTCTGATCTACACTGTGACTGATGAACTGTGCCTTGTCAGTAACACTGAACAGAAGAATGTCAGAAAGTCCATACGGGCTGTTACCAACTAGCTACTTCTCTGTACTCTCACATCTTAAGATGAGTAACTTTTACTGAGTAAATATAAATCTGATTTATTATTTCCTGTAGTAATTAATTCACATCAGGTCACCTCCTCCTCCTCTTAATCCAAACTCTACACCTAGCAAGTTACATTGGGGCACAACCCAACCACCTGTTATCATAGTGCTAGGGAGGCTGAGGCAGGACTCCCTCATACTTGCTGAGGCAGAAGAATCTCAAATTTGGGGCCAGCTTGGGCCACACAGTAAGACCCTGTCTCAAAACAATACAAAACAAAAGATTGTATGGCTATGAAAGACTATGATGTGAATTCACAAAACTGGTATAGTCACAAACACTGAGCATTTTTAAGACTACAGAAAAATTTTTTTTTTCAAACTTAGAATCCACTATGATTAAAATACAGTAAGTTCAACTGAATTCATCATGTCTTGGTCACTACATCTTTTCATTAACCCTCAAGCAAGACACTGGGTCCAGCAGACCTATCCCTTACTTTTCTACTGCAAATTTGTAGCTGGCTGTGCATCTTAGTTACCTTTCCCTGAGGGATACAGGAAGCAATCTATGTGTTTATCCACTTGGTACAACGAATGGCAAGATGTGTGCTCGTATGCTAAAGTGGCAAAATGTGATTTTTTACCCATGTTATGCTCTGGTTAACTGGCTTTACGTATGTTTATCCAAAGCATCACAGCGGGTCCAACACACCACTCCAGGATTTGTTTAAAAAAAGTTTTTCTTTTGATTTTTCTGGTACAATTAGCCCAATTCAGTACAATGGCACATGAAAAACCAGATTTGCAAGTTTTGGAGGTCAAAAGTGAATCATTAGATTACTCATCCATGGATGATAAAGATGATCCATTATGGTAAAGCTCGTTTTCATAACAGAAGAGTGCGGTGGGTGTAAGGTGGTGATGATGATGATGACTTTGACATTGGCCATGTGAGCCAAAGTTCCTGTGACAGTGAAATGGAGCAAGAATCGACTGATACAGACATAGGGAATGCAGACCTCCTGGATTCAGATGACAAAGAAAACAGTAGTGTGAGTACATATTTGACTGGTCGAAATATTGCAAAATGGCCATGCAACCAAATGGAATTATCCAATGTTAGAACTGGGTCCAAAAATTTAGCGAGGGTCTTGGCGGGGGTTCAAATGTATTGGACAGACGGCCAGCACTGCCATTCAATGCTGGAAATTATAACAAGACAAAACAAGATGCTGTGAGATACACAAAGGCTGAAATGCAAGCAAAACGTTCTTTATGCACCAACAGCCATATCAAAAAATGTACTTATTATGACACCTCACTAGTGGAACTGAAAGCATTCATAGGTCTGCTGTACTTAGCAGGGATTTCTCATGGTATTTGTGGAAAGAAAAAATACATTTATGGAAAAGCAATGAGTCAAAATATGGCATAAAAATTTATGCCTCTAAAAAAAAATAAAAAATAAAAAATTTATGCCTCTGTAGATACGAAGACATTATGGTTTCAATTTAGACATTTATCCTAGAAGAGCCATCAGGTCTTTATTCGTATAGTAAAAAACCGAATGATGTAAAAAGACTTGTTTGTCCCATCTCCGAAACTAATTGGAATGTGACATTCAACAACTGGTTTACCAGTTTCCAACTGATGTTACATTTGCTAACAGAGCACAAGTTGACCAGTACAGGAATTGTACTCAGGAGCAAAGCAGAAATTCCAAATGAAATGATGTAGGGAAACACTGTATAGAGAATTGTATAGTATAATCTTTGGATTTCAGAAAGATTTGCACTGGCCTCTTATATGGAAAAAGAAAAACAAACTGGTACTGCTGATGTCAAAACTCACCGTGAGGGAAACCTCAACAAAATGGAAGTCTGGGATGGAATTTTTCTACAACAAAGCCAAAGGTGGAGTAGATGTTGCTGATGAGTTAGGTAGCAACGAAGATGTCACTCGAATCACAAAGCATTGGCCAATGATTGTGTTCTATTTGATCCTAAACATGTGTGGCATAGTTTGATAGTTTGCAAAGAAAATAACAAGTGCAAAATACCACAGAGAAATTTTCTTTAAGGATTGATACTAGAACTCATAAAAGATCATTAACAGCCTAGGAAAAACCAAATGTTTCTGCCCAGGAAACTATGCAAAAAAACCGTGGAGCCCACTGGTGGCTGACAGGGGAACAGGCAGGCGCAGCAGCACAAAGAACTACTGCAACCAACAGGAAACCAGATGCCTGTGTGCCCTAAAAGGACAGGAAATGAAACACACGTGCTGTCAGTGTAAGCAATACTTGTGCATGGAACATGCTGCTGTGTGCAGACTGCCTTGGGTGTGACAACTGAAGTAAAGTTTTTTTTTGGTAAAGTGTTATTGGTATTTCCATTGTACTTCATATAAAAATTTTATTTATTTATTTAGGGGGGGTACCAGAAATCGAACTCCGGTCTTTGCACTTTCGAGGCAGGTGTCGGAACCACTGGGCTAAATCCCCGGCCCTGAATTTATTTGTGGTTTTTTTTTTTTTTGGTAATGGGGATCAAACTCAGGACCTTGCGCTTGCAAGGCAGGCACAGTGCCACTGAGTAACATCCCTGGCTGTGCTGTTCTTTAGACTCTGTACACCAAAAAAAAAAAAAAAAAAAAAAAAAAAATCAATGTTGAAAATTTTGATGCTTTTTATAAACAATATATATTAAAAATTCAACATTTTTGTGATTTTCCTATTAAGTACTCATTGTTTAATACAATAAAACTCATAAAATTAAAATAATTCACCAATAGAAATGCTTTAAAGAATAAACCTGGAGACCGAGGATTTAGCTCAGTGGTTCTGCCACCTGCCTTCGCAAGTGCAAGGACCCAAGTTCGATTCCCTGGTACAAAAACTAAAAATAAATAAATAAACCTGGGTCTAACAGACCCACATTTATGCACTACGACAAAATTAGTGTTATGCTCCAAGGGTTAATCAACAAATGGCTATCGTCGTGGTTCCTCAAAACTGACACCAAAAAGGTGGCTCTCACAACCACTTAATGATATGAGAACCCTCCCTCACACTATATATAAATAGACTGCAGTTAAAATATTTACTTATTTTCTGAAGCAGTCTTATTTTATGCAGCTTTTACTGGAACATAATGTGCCAAAAAACTGAATATAGTAACATATACAACTTGTAGAGTTTGAACATATGCATACACTTGTATGTTTCCATCACCACAATCAACATAATAAAGATAGCTACTTCCAAGTTTCCTTGTATCCCTTTGTTGTAGTAACATTACTTAACATGAGATTCTTAATATGGGAAGAGGGGTTTGAGACAAGATCTCCTTATGGGCCCATCTAGGCTGGCCAT